GTTAATTGTTTTCATGACTCTACATTTATTTGCATAATGACCGAATACGCATGTAAATATGTTGATTTGAAGACAAAGTCACAAGATGCAAACTAAATTTGTTTGAAACTTTTATTAGGGACTTGGCTTGGATGTTTTAGTACAATCACCTAGTGACAATTAGATATGCTGTAATGACATTCAATGATTGTGTCAAATCGTTAATGGGTGATTGTATTAAGAACTTTAACGTACCTTACCTAATCAACAAGGGTAGAGTTAGAAATTTTTTACCAGCCGGCAATCACAAGCTCAAAGTCTAATAACCTTTCTTTCAAGGGAACCTACAATGTAATACTGTATCGTTGCTTGAAAATGAAGATATGTAAACTTTTTAAGAAAATAAATTAAAAGAGATGTAAGAAATAAAAACGAGTATGTGTAAAGCATAACGCAATAAATAACGCCTTGCATATTCATATTGAATTTTGAATGGGCTTCAAAGCACAAAAACAAAGATGGCTTAAAATTCTAGTGCATTGGGCTATAACCAAAATGGACCTAGGCCGAGGCGAATAGACCTCTAAATCCAGTAAAATGCAAGCAAAATAAAAACCCAGTACATCATCATAATAATTGGGGAATGATAACACTTTATTATGGCTGAGCATGAGTGAGCTGGGTCACCGACTCACCCGTGCTAATAATCTACATCTTCTATTGTTATTGGCACGGGACAGTATCGTGACGGTGAACTCGTACTATACAAATTATTCTCCACCTCCGCACGCCCCCATAGGAAACAAAATGGAGAAAAACTTGGTCATTCCATTGAATCAAATTGAAGAAGAAGATGAAAAAGAGAAGGGTGGTGGTGGAATCTCTGGTATAGCCAATCGAGTTTTGTTTTTTCTAATGCTGCCATTGCCACTCCTCTGATTGGATTCATTTCCAATTTGCCAATGATGCGTATGAGAAAAACAAGTTTTTTTTTTTTTTTTTAGCGTAAATCTGACTAAATTATACAAAGATTTGGAGTGTATAAGTTAGTTGTTATGAGGTGTATAAAATAAGTGGGACAAGATTAATTTAACTGATGCCTATTTAATACTTAAGGGCACCAAACACCTTGTGCTAAATAGTCACTTTCGGTGTTTAATAAACGTGTAAAATGAGACGCATGTCTTACAATATAAGTAGACGACATGATTGATATGTCTCACTTTAATGCATATTTCTCAATATCCTTCCACTTACATCATGACATGTAATGTATTGTTATGGGACTTGTCTAGGTACATCGAAAAATCTCTCATGAGTTTGGATGGGGAAAAATAATTTCAAGAATTAATTAAAAGAAGTGAAAATATATACAATAGGGAAGGGTAAAACAGTAACACCAAAACCCAAACCCTAGTAGTTGACCAAAAAAAAAAAACCAAAACCCTAGTAGATCATTTGTATCCCGCGCCGTTTTATTGTCTTCTCCAAGCTCTCCCACCCTCCTCTGAAACTCCAACCTCCAGGTCAGTTTCATGGAATCTGCTACTTACTATGAACTTTTTAATTTTCTTAATTTTTTTTAATTTTAATTTTTATTAATGCTTCGCTATGTCATTGTTTTTTTGAGAATTATGCTTCAATTTTCAGTTGGGTTTCTGAATTGAAATTAGAGATTAAAGAATCGTAAATATTGTTCTTAATGTGATTAAAAGTTTGTGATTTATCCTTTTATTTTGCTTCCTAATTTTATTTGTCTAATTTTTTTATAACTTGATTTGTATAAATATATGGGTTAAGCCACCGTAATTAATTAATTTGTTCAGCATTTGGAACATTTGAGGCAGGCATTGTCAAATGGTTATCAGGTTTCTGTAATCCCATTTTCTGGGTGAAGGTGTTTTAATCAAACTTGGGTTTAGAGCATTGAGTTTTCTTACTGTTGTAGCTTGAATTGCGATTGTACAGAAACCATGGCCGCTGCTGATGTAGCTGCTCCTGTAATGGAACCAACGCAGCCGCACTATGATGTCAAGCTCTTCAACCGCTGGAGCTTCGACGATGTCCAGGTTTCTGGCGTTTTCGCTTAAATTTTGTACTTTGTTTTTCCAGAATCTCTGATGAATTTGATGAAATGTGGTTGAGTTTGGTAAAAATAAGTTTAGGTGGATTGTAATTATTGATCGCATATATTTAGAGGTACATTAGGTTTGATGTAGACATACTCTGAGGTATGAGATAATGTTTCAGAGTGAACCGATGGTTGGTTAGCCCTCGAGGATCTGTGCTTGTCGTGTAAATCTTTGTTGGTTGCTGTCTTGCTTTTCAGAAATTTTAGACATCCGTGGCCTCCTTTTGTTTCTTAGATGCGCCGTACGTATAAGTTTGTTCTTGTCACATGTATTTGATGCCGTAAAAGTGTATGTACAGTTTAGTTAATTTCGTATATATGTTGATTCTCTTCATGACCATTGATTGTTGCTATCGATTAATTGGTAATTATGTGTCAAGTTGGGATCCGGTAACACACACATTTGACACGTATTTTTGTGGGGCACACTCCGTAATGTGTTTAAACGATCCAACTGTCTATCTTTTATGTCTTACCTCAAAGATCATCCAATTGTCTGTCTTGTATGTCTTACCTCAAAGTTCATTTCTACCAAAAAGTACCCAAATCTGTAACCATATGACCGTTGGCTTAAATTTAGTGTTTCTTTGTAGATCTCGATTCGTCTATTTTCTTCACTACAAATGTATGTCTTAATGGTTTTGGATTTGTCTATTTTCTTAAAATGAATGATCTATGAATGATGTACTAACATATATATGGTTTGGATGGTTGAAATACATTACAAAATGGACCCTAGAAAATGGGTGACAAAATGTGTGTTAAAAGCATGTGTCCTCGGACCCTAATCCTGTGATAAATTTCATTTTTTTGTTGAATATATTGATTAATTTGTTATACTCACGGCTGCTAATTATAATATGAATTGCCACTTTTAGGTCAGTGACATTTCACTGGCGGATTACATTGGAGTTGCACCTTCCAAGCATGCAACTTATGTACCTCACACTGCTGGAAGATACTCGGTAAAACGATTCAGGAAAGCTCAGTGCCCTATTGTGGAGAGGCTTACAAACTCACTCATGATGCACGGGAGAAACAATGGAAAGAAACTTATGGCTGTCAGGATTATTAGGCACGCGATGGAAATTATCCATTTGCTAACTGATCTGAACCCAATCCAAGTTATTGTTGATGCTGTTGTTAACAGGTACAGACGCCAATAAGTTAATATCTTTCTCATAGTAATAATATATGTTGCCCTCTGTCCCTTGTTTGATGCTTAAGGGGAAGCTTATGTGCCCTTTAGTATAGTTTTCCTGATTACATGTTGATTTTTACATCTGTTGGGAACTTGGGATTACGAAGGATGTGACCTTTCTTCTTCTTTCAGTTCTGTATTTGCATATCCTTGTTTTTTTTTCCTCATGCTGTGTGTCTTCTTTCTGCCGATCAGTGGTCCACGTGAAGATGCAACTCGTATTGGATCTGCTGGAGTTGTTAGGCGTCAAGCTGTGGATATCTCACCTTTGAGACGTGTAAATCAGGCTATCTATCTCCTCACAACTGGTGCTCGTGAGTCTGCTTTCAGGAACGTCAAAACTATTGCTGAGTGTTTGGCTGATGAGCTTATTAATGCTGCCAAAGGTTCCTCTAACAGGTACTGTGCTTATTTGCCTATTACATGTTATTTTCTCCAAAGTTATTTACAGTCCGATTGCATTTCTTTCCCTTTTTTATTGTTTGTTCGCTGACGATTGGTGGTGTTTTTTGTGCAGTTATGCAATCAAGAAGAAGGATGAGATTGAAAGAGTTGCCAAGGCTAACCGTTAAGAGGCTGCGAGAAAAATTTATGCAGGGAGGAGAATTTTGTACGCGTATTTGTTTTTTGCCCATTATTTAGAATTTTTCGGATATACCCTTGAATGCGAGACACGTCTCTGTCCTTTTATGTTACGAAACCAGTCATCTGTTAGTATGGATCCTGTAATTTTATACCGTTGGATGCGGTTGATTTGATCCTTAATTCAAATTATGCAATCTCATTGACACTCTACACATGTTTCGAACTTTTGATGTATCGTTTGCACTAATGGCAACCCTCCATGGATATCATTACTTGGAGACTCACCTGATTCTTTTAGAGGGGTTGCCATGGTGGAAGCACACTTATCTTCTCCGGTAGCAGCCTTCTGGAGACAAAGTTGTACTCAACCGGAAAGTTGTCGTCGGACAGCGAAAAATCACTGAAAGAATCAGAAGAAGTCAATTGCATTTGCATATGCCATTGGTTTGATGTCTGGACGTGGCACTCCGAGAAAGTAACAATGTGAGGCTTCAAACTCGTATCCCTCATCCTTCACTTGGTGAGATCGCATTTTCCCGCGTCCCGTCGCCACCAAAAGAAACACCTACACCTCGCCTGCTCGGACCTCTTCCAGGCCTAGCTTGTGGATCACTCCACAGAAAACCACACATAAACCCTTCCTCCGGAGGTTCACCAAAACCGATTAATCGCTCTAATGTCGCTCAATTTCACTCCATCAACGCTGAAAAGACCGCCATGGGTTACAAAAACCTTACTATTGATTACATGAATGCTTCAATGTAATCAACATCTGACGGTACAGCACCATATGACCATCAAGATGGAGAACTATATTAGTGTGTCGGAAACACGAACAGATACGCCAGGTGTCATAATACAAGTGGTTGGATACTTGAAAAAAAAATTCAACCACTTATATTATAACACCTAGTGTACCAGATCGTATTTTCAGCACACTGAAAAATCTCATATGCAAATAGTGATTAGATTAACTACAAGTATTTTAGTCAAATCTCAAAATTAAATTAGAGCAAAAGTTTAGACGCCAATTCTTAACTTTAGTTTCATTTTTCTTAATCCACGTGGCTTTATTAAATTATACATGTGGGGCTCACATGTGAGCCACATCATATTTTCTTTTGGTCGAATAAGCTATGTACGTTTGGTTAACAGGTTCTTCTACCCTGCGCCGTTCCCTTGGCCTCACCGATTCAGCGCGCCCCTCCCTCCTGGAGCCATTTTCTTGTCGCCCGCCGTCTGAAACTCCCACATCCAGGTTAGGGTTTATCTCTCTCGCCCATCTCTGCAACTTCCCGCCCTGACAGCTTATCCTTGTCGTTCCATTTATTTTTTTAATTTCAGTTCTTAATTCTTTGTTAAAGTTGTTTTGTTTATAAGAATTTGCCTTGAATTTCAGTTAGGTTTTTGAATTGAATAAGACAAGTTTTGGACTTTGTACGACTGATTTAGTGATTCATATCCTTTTTCTCCTTTCATTTTTCTTGCTAATTTTATTTATCTGATTTTTATAACTTGATTTGTAGAAACATATGGAAAAATTCGAGCAAATGTCATATAAAGATCACATTTTTAATCTAAATTTGTGGCTATATTGATATATCACTTCTCAAAAGGGAGTAGGATTACAAAACAGTTAATATGGTATTGCTTGATTTTTAGTTACTGCCATTACCAAATGTTAACGTGACACAGTACCGAGCACAATGGCGTTCTAGAATTCATATAGCCGACTCCACTTAGTGGGAAAAGGCTTTGTTGTTGTTGTTGTTGTATTACCAAATGTTAACCATTTTTTCTTGGTTCTTGTTAGACAATGAGGTAGGATGCAACGTTCACAGTATGAAAATGCGTCGAAAGTTATGACTTGTGATATTGTTTTCAACCTTGATCCTTGAATGAAATACCGTTAGTTAAGATTTAATTTTTGGCGTTCAATGTCCCGAGCTAAATTCTTGGTTTCACCACTGTTTTCGATACTTGTCAAAGGATGATTTGTTGAAAATTGTGATAGATATGTATATGCTCTGATTTGTGAGTTTATTTTCATTTCATATCCCAGCATTTATCACGAAATTTCCAGATTGGATATAAATTTTTGTTCTTTTATATTTAAATCATTATCTACCTTGTGTCATGGTGATTTCTATGACTAAGATTGTTTAGTAATTGTTAAAGGCCTCGTCCAAGGAGAAAGACCGTCATCTAAAGTAATGGCCGCCAAGATATGCATAGCCATTCGATCATTTGGTCGCCCATTGACGGAAAACATCAACTGGGGACTTCCACCTTACACAAGGAAGATTGCACTGCCGGAATCAAGAGTCTTGTACACTGTGTTACGATCACCTCATGTTGATAAAAAGTCCAGAGAACAGTTTGAAATGAATGTCAAGAAACAGTTTCTGGTCATAAACACAGAAACACATGAGTTGCAAAAGAAGTTCTTTTGGTTAAAGCGCCAGCGCATATTTGGAGCCCAATACGAACTCCGATTTTCTTGCAAGACACGTTTGGACAAGGAAAAACTCCAGAGATTGCTTTGAAGTAAGATCCGTGCATTGACCCCAACTGCTGGATGGTTCTGGTTTTGTTTTGATAGGAAGAGGAGATGAAAAAAAAGGTGCACTTCAAATGTTAACGAAGATTGGTTGATCTCTAATAAGTTCTGTACGCTTATGTTTTGGTTTTAGCAGATAGGATGACAATTCGGAATCGCTTTTGGTTACAGTAGAATTTGTTTACTTGTTATTGTGCAATGATTCAACACTTTATATTTCAGCTTGGGTTTGGATGTTTCACAGACTATTTTGCTTTTTATCAACAAATAATCGCATCATTCTCTAACTAGCCTCTCCACACGATAATGCGAGCGGATAGACTTTTTATGTTGTGTATTTTGATTGCAGTGAATGTTTCTTATCAAACTGCTCATAACTAGAACTGCGGTGTAGTAATGCTTATTTTGTAAGTGAAAAGTTTACAGTTCAACTCGCGCGTTTGATGAGAACGTATAATATTGTGTTGAGTTTGATACCTAGTGTTTGACACATTGTGTAGCTTAGTGACAATACAGTGGGAGGCCTAATCAGTAATCCCCAACCAATTTAGTTGTGTTTCATAGAGGATGGAGCTTGTTCATTTCCTGATGAGCTTTATCACTGGTTCAAGAAACTTGCAGTGTCTTAAGAATGGCTTCCAAGGTCAAAGGCATATAAATAATCCTTAGTTCTGGTGTTTAATGCAAATTTGGAAAGTGGGAAGAACAATAACCTAAAAATGGTTTCAAATTATTTACCTCAAGTGCTTAGTACTTGCAAGTTTAGTGTCGACGCATGTTTGACTGTTTTGGATTTGATCCAATGATCCTCGATTACTCAATGTTAACCATTGGATTCAATTGTCAAATATGTGTCGTCACTGAGTGTAAGCAGGTAGTCAAGAAAAATCGTTCTGAGTTCCAACAATTGCATTTTGAAACATAAAGTCTTTAGCCTTTTGATATGTAGGGATAAAAAGCAATCATCAATTATACATGAAAGACTCATAATCCATAGATCATTGTCTTCAAATTTCCACAGTAATTTGATGACTGATAAAAAAACAAACTACATTTGACCTTTAGAGACATCAATATACGACTTTCATGAGCATCCCATGATGGTTCTGTATTCACAACAATATGCAACTTAAACCTTTCAAGACTCTATGAACACAATGCTTCGGCATCACAAATGTCGTTAAACTCCAACCGAAACTTCATGAGGCATGATCTCCGGGATAGGTGCACCAAGGACTGGTTCTTTGATCTGGCCAACACTCACTTCAGGCTCTATCTCATCTTGGAATTCGGAAAGATGCCCTGACTGGTCCTGAGCTTCTTCAGTTTTTCCGGTGTGCGCTTTCTGGTCTTGTGTTTCTTCTTTGGTACCCTTTGGTGGTGACTTCGCAGGCTTTGCTTCAGTTTTAGTAGCAGCATTTTCCTGAGAAGGAAGCCTAGTTTGAGACTTTCTAATAGGCTTCTTTGGATCTATGACGTCCTTTTCGCTTTTAGTCTTTAATCCTTTCTTTGAAATATTCAGTTCTTGATTCAGACGTGGGCTAAGAGATGCCCCAGCACCTTCTGAAGAACTGTTTAGCGAAGAAATGGAGCTCTTGTTCCGTCCAAGTTTTGGAGATTTTGGCCGTGTGGTTGGAATCTAAATTGATGGACAGAGAAGAGTCACATACAATGTTGTTATACAAAAGCAAACAACATGAAGCACAGGTGGGAGAAGAGTCTAACAGTTACCTTCTTGAGTTCAACTTTCGGAGGAGGCTCTTTATAGAAACTTGGCATGGGCGCCGCCTTAAACGTCAGGCTCTTCCTTAGTCGCTTGATCTCAGCTTCCTGGCTTTCCTGCAAAATAAGCATATGGAAAATATAATGAATATGCTGAAACGGAATTATGAAACAGAAGTTGGAAATATTGGAAATAAACAAGTTGATATATGAAGAACAAAAGTACAATCGTCGGAGTGCTGTAAACTAGTCTCCACACCTTTGATTTTGCTTGCGAGTTATTTTTTTCTTCTTCCTTAGCCTGTATCTTCTCTTCCAGCTTCGTAAAAAACTGATGAACAACGAATAAGGTTCATTAGTGACTGATGAACAACAAATAAGGTTCATTAGTGATACGAGTTGAAAATAAAACTGTTAATATAAGAAATAATTGTTGAGCAGAATATCCTGCATCCAAAATGCCTGCAATTGCATCCTCCCAATATGTGGAATTCCAATATTGGGAGGATGCTACGGCAGCGCTCTAATAGTGGATAGAGACCCACATGACAGGGCATGTTTTAGAATATAAAACGATTTCTGGCTCGCATCCTGAATTTTTAAGCTTTTGAAAATAGCAGTAAACTTTATCAGAAACTATAGACATGTTTTACCAACCTCCTTCCGTTTTTCAGCACGTTCTTCCAACCTAAAGGAAAATCCAGAAGCACTGATCCTCCGCCCGCTAGGTGTAGTCCTTTTGACATAACACAGAATTCATGTAGGTATCAGTACAACAAATTAAATAATTTAGATACTGGCAGCAAAGATTAAGGGATGTGAAACAATTAATGCTCTGGGATATGAGGCATACGAAGCAACGGAGTGAGCATCATCATCCTCTTTGATTGGCAGAGTTGTTTTTACAGCATTTAAACTTTGATCAACTGATCTGTTATCACATAAAATGGCTAATCAATATCATTAAGCCGAATTAAGTTTCCAGTGAAGAAATCTTTTCCTATGCACAAATTACGCATAAGTAAACAGTACAACGATCTATAATGTTTGAACAAAAAATATAAAGGTTAAGTACACTCGCGTACTGAATAGCGGTTGTAACCTACCGGATCCCATTAGATGGGTTATTGGCGGATGTATCCACAGAACCAGACTTGCCGGACTGATGCAATTAAGAGCAGGCATTAGCTACATTTAAGATGGCTAATAAGAGGAGTAAACTATAGAAGTAAAAACTTGAAAAAGTCTTACTGAAGAGGATCTAATGCTGGGTATTGATGCCAAAGAAGTCCTCTTAATGGAATCTCCAGTTGTGTTCCCATCATTTGAATGAACTCCTGTGGATGCCCGCCTAGTTGGATTATTCAGACGAGAAACTGAAATGGGAGCCTCAGCTTTGGTTGCTCCTCGAGCATGTTTGATTTCTGTTTTCACTGGGTACACATCAATGCTCTTCTTCATAGGATCTGCATGAGATCCTCTTGCCGGGAAAGAAAGACTCTGAGAAAGCAATGCCCTCTCCTTACGAGGGAATGGAGTTGCGCCCTTCACAGTAGGTTTTTCTTTGGCCGGTTTGCTCTTTGAAAAACCATTGTTCGGAGCATGAGGATTCTGAATAGAAAACACAAGTAGGAAAGAGCATCGGTACATGTGTGTCATGAAAATTGATAAGAGAAATAGCTCAAATGACAAGGAATTCTGGCATGCGGTACCTTTGCAGCTTTTGAATTTTTACCAGGCGGAACAGTCGCAGAGGCTGCAACTGCAACTTCAGAAGAGTTAATGCCTTCATCTTTTGTCACAGGTTCAGATATTCCATTCACGGCAGGAACTTCAGCATTACCATCAGCATTCTTTCCCTCTTTGCTCAAACTCGGTACTGATACATCTACATGTTTTTCCTCGATAACACAACTCTCATCGTCGAATGTAACCCCATTTTCAGACTCCATTGTGAAATACTTCAAGAAATAAAATGCAAAGTAAGCAAAGTCAAACAACAGTTCTACCATGCAAGAGATATACATTTGGCTTGTCCAATAAATTATATAACTAATAATAATATCGAACAATGACACAGCAAAGTTGAGGAAACAAAATCACCAAGAACTTATCTTTAATACCATTTTGATTAACATGAATGATATAACTGAAGTTATATACTTACGTAATAAATGCATAAATAAGTTATATCATTCAGTATATACACTTTTCTAATACTTCATAATTTATATGTCATTTTATTTTGCAATTTATGTATCAATACAATTATGTATTTTTTTAAGTATAAATAGGCACTTATTTATAACGATATATAATAAGTTTAATTAAATCCACCTAGGCGCTAACCCCAGCCAACTGCCTGACTAGCGCTTGGCGTCTTTTAGAACCTTGAGTATATACCAGCAAGACATGTAGGAAATAACAATACTAAGACATCCAGAATTTTACATAGTTACGCAGGCAACGAACATGAGTGGTTATCCTATCCTCCCCAGAAGAACTCATATGTCATAACAATTCCTATCATTTTCGGGAGTGCCAAAATAACTTCTAGAGTGTTTGGCAAAAATTTAAAAGTGCTTTCAATGAGAATAAATCATTCCCAAGCGAGAATCACTCAGGGCCTTTGATGAAACTTTTAAAATACCAAAATCACTTCTAAATAAGCACTCCCAAACCAACACTTATCGTTTCAGGTTCTCGAAAGGTAAGGATTTACTTTGATATTTCCCAATGTACCAAAGAACAAGACGAGTACATACCCTCGAAATATTCATTTTCTATTTGGCTGGATTTATCCCTCCATCAAAAAGAGAAATTTAAAGCATAATTTGTGGCATGACAAACTACAAACCAAAAACACCATGAAATGTTTTATGATGAAACGATCCTAACATGCCACTGGGAAAGAGTTCCTATCATTTCAGTCATGAAACGCTTGATAATTCTGAGATCATAATGTATATCATTCCAGATCCACAACACATAATCCTCAACATTCCAACAGTTCTGCGAAATTCGTTCAAAAACCAAACATCTGCACAGCAATGGAAGCTAACCCCTTTACACTCAACACTCCATCACGTTTACAAAATCCAAAATCCCATCAAGCCTTTTGTAGAAAATAAGCGGCTCGGAATTACTTCAAAAGAAAAAGAAATCTAACCAACTAAACCAATTGTATAATTAGTCAACTGAGATTGTCACTACAGTTTTTTTTTGAAGAATTAATTACCAAAAAACAACACTCTGAGGCTCATGATTTAGTTCTTGTGCACTCACATTTTCTAGAAAATTATCAACATATGCAATGTCTCAAAACATACCCAGAAAAGGGTAAGCAACAGAAACAAAGAAAACGCAGAAACCCAACAAAATAAGCATTTTAAAGGTTAAGAATTTAAGGCATAATCTTTAAGATCATATAAAATAAACACTTACAGAAATTATCAGGCAGTTTTCGAACCTGATTTGTTGAATTTGGGACTAAACGATTTAAATAAGTACTTGAAAGAGTGATTGATAGCAAGACCAAATAGCAATGGAAGCAAAATTCCACTGCTGAATTATGAGAGAAGAAGATAAGAACAGAGCAGAGAAATATATTGATTGTGCTTTTGGATTAGAAGCACTTTGTGATGGTAAGTGCTTCTGATGGTTGGAACTTGAAAGCTAAGGAGGGAGTTGGTGATGCACGCTCTGGTTGGGTTCGAGAAATCCGAGGGAGGGAGAGAGAGATGGCTGTGTCAATGAAGTGGATAGAGATTGGAAACAGTGAAGAAAAATGACTAAACTGCCACTATGGAAGTTACTAGCAACTTTTTGAATTCTGAATGGTGATGGAGGGAAAGGGGATGTGTGAAGAAGATCGAGGGTGTCAAGAGTTTATCTTGTTAAGGTTAGAAAATGCACATTAGGATGCAATTGAGTTGTGGATTCTGCGAAATGTTAAGGATTTCGTTTACCATTTATGGAAATACGGATTATATTTTGAAGGGAAAAATTGTTTTCTAACGATGACAAGTTTTTTCGACCGTTAAATTGGTTATAAGATTTACGTAGGTGCAAGTGAGATGTTACTTGAAGACACATTGCTAGATGTTACTTGAAGACACATTGCTAGAGGAATTTATGTTATATAAGAAAATACTAATTAAAAAGTTATTAGAGAAAGATATTGCGGATCTTGATAAGGGTAGTATTGTTGCCTACATTACTAAATACAGTGAAATTCTCTATTCTTGTGATATTCCTTACCATGAATGACGGTGGTGCTGGAAATTATGACAACTTATAATGATGATGTTGCTTTACTATTGAAACTATATTCGATGACAAACTATTGAATAATTTGAGGATTTTTAGTTGTTATTGAATATTGGGACTCATTATGGACTTCTAGTATTCAACTAGTGCACAGTTTCCTGATTTTTTTATACTGAAATATTGAAATTCTTGGTGGACTTCTAGTATCCAGCAAAAATCGACCACATCTTTTGAGAATTTTGAGTTGCTGACTATCAAATCGTTACATAATTTTCATTTATAAACCAGTTTCAATTCAATTCTGTACTAAACGAGCTCGAACATTTATCAAGCAAATTCCAAGACCTTAATGTGTCAAAACTTAGAAGTACGAATTCTGACAATTCGTACCCTAAACTTCCTACGTAGAATGTTTGGCACCAAACCACTACAACACCAACATTATTTTGTTATTAGTTCTTCGTCGAGATTAGTTTCAACTTGACCATTCTAACAGCCCTCGGTTCAGTTTCAGTTAGTGCAGATCGTCTTCGACACTAGTTCAATGAATTAAAGGATCAATAATGTAACAACTTGTAACTTCAGGATAATAATGTGTCAATTTCTAAATGACAGAAACCAAATTACAAGGGTACCCTTATAGTTTGTCCTAAACTACAAGGATGTAAAATGCAATTTATCCATAAATGAAAGCTTAATTGAAAACCTAATTAAAATGGAAGAAGTGAATAAGCAAGTTCTCTACCTTACATGATTGTGTAGACTATCTCACCATGACCCCAATGGGATGATTAAGAGCATTAAACAATCAATTAGGGGATTTTCTTATTTCATTGTCTGTCTCCATCTAATAGTGGGTGTGATATGATAGACAATCTGATTAATATATCTTGTCAATACCAAACAAAGCAAATTACTTGATGGTTAGATTACAAACAAAAATATATATTAATTAATTAAAATATTACGCAAAGAAAAAATTAATCAAAGGTTAAGAGTGTTTTTTATTATCATCTACTAAAATATTAGTTGGAGATTACTCAAAGTAATTAAAAATAATAAGACAAATTAACTATCTTTTTCCCTTGCCTACACTTTGAATGTTATGTGACTATCAAATCCAAGAAAATTAAGTTTCATCATATTATTCATGACCGAGAGAATTGTTGATTTAGTCTTTAAATTATCATTCGAGTGAAAATTAAATTTGTAAACATTTTTTTTTTGAAAAAATCAGTTCTTAAACTAATTAAAATCAACCAATTACATCCCTAATATTAGATTTGAAACTATTCTATTCAATTTTTCGTCAATTTAAATCATGTGACATGCATGCGATACACTTTGGAGGGAGATTGATAGTTTTTTCATGAGTTTAAGGACTTACCTTTTGAAGAATTACTGTATGAAGTTAACTTTGGAGAGTAAACTAGATGTTAAATTCGTAATTTATATGCAACGTTAAGGGCTTATAAGAAAAAAGAAGAAGATAGTATTACCATCTAAAATGTATAGCGTGACTTAAATTGACGAAAAATTAAATAAAATAACTTTAAGTATAATAGTAAGGATGAAATTAACAGTTTTTGAAATGTTAGACTTCTTTTATCCAAAAGTAATTTATAAACTTAATTTTTACTCATGTAATAATTTAAGGATTTAATGATCGGTTGAGCCTTTATGATTCAAACATAGAAAGAAAAAGGGCAAAATGGTCAGGCAGCATGATCGAATAGAATAAACTGGAAGGGGCAAAATGGTCAAAGGACAAATCAACCAATGATTGAAAACAGCCGGAGGAGAGTTACTGTTGGAGAACGTTGGGTCTGCGTTTTTATTGTGTGTGGGGTTCACAGGTGGTGCTGTCTTTCCCGATGACGTGGCAGGGCCGAGCGGCATGATTGGTCTCACGTTAGGCCAACCTGGACACCCTACCACGTCCACCAACCGCGCGTGAGCTGTATCTACGTGCGTGCGAGATGGCCATCCGACGGCTGCTTTTAACTTGCCTGATAATCTCGGCCGTCCATTTGGGGATCAATCAAGGAAGAACATGGAATTGTTTGGGTTTATGGTCGGGATTTTGTGGTTGGTGCGTTGCATTCAACGGCTAGGCTGGATTCTCAATTGTCCTCGGCATTTGTGATTTGGCACTTTGCCCTCTTGGCCCTCATTGCATTTTCATGCAATCTCCACATATTTGATTCATTGACAATATTTTTATTTTTATTTTAGCAATCGAAGACAGTGCACTGATCATTATTTAGTCTAGTAACATTTGTTTTAACTTAGTTAAAAGATAATACTGCTACAGTTGATACTGATCGGATACGACTATAAAAAACCCTTCCACCATCTGACATCTTTCAAATCTCCCTAACTATGGAATCATTTACTTATCATCTATCATAGAATGTGTTTTTCTACTTTATAAACATATTACATTTTGACACGTGAGAATAAATTTCACATTTTGAATAAGTTGTTTTTCATATATGTGTCATAATTCATAAGGAAGGAACCAACCATTGTTTAATTTTAACTAAATCTACTAAAATGGTTTGATGAAAGTGCATTGAATTTAAGAACACCAAAAAAAGGGTAAAAATAAAATTTGGACCAAATGAAACTTTGACAGAGTAAGAAAGTGAGGGTTAGTTAGTAGGTGTTGTTTGTGTCGCTACATGTGGTGATTTGTGAGGCCTCATTATTTTGATGGCTTTGTGTGAGGGTTCCAGTGCTAGTTTGTTGCGTCTATTGTACGTGTGACAAATGGTTTGATGAAAGTGCATCAAATTCAAGAAATTAGTCACTAGATAAATGAATCCATAGAGCACCTCTTGTAATTGGTTGTTTTTGGTTATAAGATGCTCCATCGCTTCCGTAAAAAAAAAAAAAAAAAGAAGTTTAATAGAAAGCCCAAAAACAAAAAAAAAAATGGTAAGAAAAAGTGAAGGAACAAAAATACTCCCTCTAAACTTTTTGTGTGGTAATCACGACCACAAAAAATCTTTCGAAATTGCAAAACAATTGTAAGCTTATAAAAACAAAAGTATACATAACATGTGCAATCTCAAGGAAAAACAAACAACAAGAACCCACATTTCACAGTGAGACCAAAACATAAGAAAACAAAAAGAGACAGGACCATAAAAGTCTCAGAAGGATGGCCCCTGCGGCCAAAAACTGACACAGAATTTGCCTTTGCTCCATAATTTGAAGCTCATGAGTTGTTTGTAGTCTAAACTGCAGTTTTTCGACAACTTTGTATATTGGCCACTGGGCACCACAAGGTCCATGTCCCCCTTTGCATCCCGAAGCATCATTTTCTACTTTAGGCGTATGTTATGTGAGGTATGTATTTGTTCACATTTATAAGGGTAATTACATTTTAAGCCCAAGATTATTTCTTCCTCGTCTTCATTTTTTCGGTCTTAAATTGAGCAACACTTACTAACTAGCTCTTGATTTATTGATATTTGTCTTTTTAATATTGAAAGCAGTTCCAAGTTAAATTAATAAAGAAAAGTTGAGTAGTACTCTTATTCTATATATCGAATTTGTGACCAATCTTAAACCTGATATCGGGAAGTAGGATTCTATCTCTTTCCTCTTTTTATTTCTCTCTCTTTACAGAAAAGATAACACAAGATGTTAATGTAACTTAATTGTGAACGTTCAAATAAGAAAAGACTGGAATGGAGGAAAAAAATAGAGGGGAGAGAATCTGGATCCTAGGTGGTGATCTATACAAAGACTATTTGTGCAAAATTAATTAATAAGTTGAATGCCCCACTTAAGCCAATCCCACAATTTCCGCAAGGCTGTATCATTTGCTCTAAAAATATTGAACTTAAGAGCTGAAGCTCGAAATTTGTGGCACCGACAACACTTACATGTATACTTTTGAGCTGGTGATCGAGCTTTTATCATGTCAAATAGTACTGGTTGGAAATTAGTAGAGCAGGGTCTGCCCTCTTGATGAACGCATAACATCCATAAACTTGAGGTGCACGAAAACAACAGTTAAACAACAAATTAACTTTACAGTACGTAGAACTCTTCTCATGCATAATGTGAAATAATGATGTTTGCAAATGATTAAGACCATTGTGATTCGAACGTAGAATTTCTTCCAATATAGTGGAGAGTGAATCCTGTAGATCAAATAGCTTTTAGTTTGTGTTTTCTATTTTTCTATTGGAATTTGTGTTTTCTAACGTAACCCATCTTCCCGTCACTGTAATTGTCAGCTTCTGCCACAAAGTCTCCAAGACCAGCAGATGGGACAATGGCTTTTCGATAAAGGAGACCACCTTTGAAACCGGGGTTCCTTTCCTCTTAGAAGGTAGGGTCGAAGTTTCCGTCGAGGGTAGCTATATATACGCTTGGGGGGACTCAATCACGACAGAAGATAATGTGAACTATCAAGTCCCGGTTGAAATACCACCAAAGAAGAAGGTAAAACTGAGCCTCCAAGCTAGGCAGGGTACATGCGATGTTCCCTTCTCCTACATTCAGACTGACACCTATCATCGCCGGCATAATCATAAAAAAGATCATGTGAGCCGGTATTAAAACATTAGAAAGTTGATGATTACACCGGAGTCAGTTACTTCCGGAGTCAGTTACTTCGACTTCCATTCCCTCACAGAACCGCTTGATGTTGATAATTCATCATGCATGCATGCATGCACGCACGATACTCTCCATCATCCGGACCAAAATAACAATGGTTTCTACATCTTCATCAGATGCAGTACTCCCTCCCTCTCAATAAATAATGCAATCGTGCCCGTCGCGACTTGCAGCCCAAATGCATGTAATATATGTCTGTTGTTGTGTTGTTTTCAAACAGTGATTTTCAATTTAGGGTTTTATAATGGGCAATAATTTTCTTGCCACATAACACTGGCATGTTTTGCATGTAGCTATGTTTTAATTCTAAAATACATACATGTTTGTTGTTGTGTTTGTTTGACTGTTAGTTCAATGTTACCGATATATCTACTTACGTGGCAACACAAAAAAGTTAATAATAAAATCAGCAAAACCAAGAAACAGGAAAGCAGAAGTAGTGAGATTTTCGAAGAACGATAATGTTTGTGTTCACTGTACGAACAACGTAATTGGAATTGTTCATTATCGTTATTATCATCTAAATATTATGTCTGCAAAACATCATTCAATTTAGAGATTATTTAGTTATTCATACGTGTCAAACTAATCAACGGTTTTAATAACAAATAGTATCTTCATGATTAACTGTCCATATATAATAGAAAATATATTCCATAAAGAAAACAAAAATGAAATTGTAAGCAAAGGGTTTTGTAACTCCATCAATTAAGAATATTCACCTCACTACTGATGTCATGCATTCCGCCCTTGAATGCTTCCAAACACCATAATTCAAAGCTATATACAACCTTGAGTTGAACTGAGTTGGGAGTCTTACCTTCCTCTTTGATCGAGTAATAAAAACCAATAACACGATAAAAAAAAACACTAATAACCAGAGAGGTTACGCATGTGTTTATGTACAGTAAGTTTTTTCTATCGTATATTACATGAGAAGATAGCCTAAAATTGTACGTACCATCTGTTTTGATACAAATTAGTTGAATACTAATAAATAAATTCAAACGTCAAGTTTGATGGCACCTATTCATATTTACCGAAGACCTTAATTCAGCTCTGCAAATCTTCAAAAGCTGCAGAAATTCACAAAAGGTGGAAGGAGAAAGGGAGCCATTATTAACAAACAGAGAGTGCCTCCCTAAATCCAACGCTGAGGGCATTGGTGTGAACCCCCTTCTTATCAAAATCTGCATTGCCTTTCTTCATCATGGCAACGAACTCGTTGTAGTCTATTTGCCCGTCCTGAAAAAACAAACAAGTACAGTAAGTACTTGAACAAGTTTCCATTTTGTTTTTAGCATCAATCCTATGATTTGGGAACGTCGTGTACTTACATTGTCCTGATCTACTTCTCGGATCAATTCTTCCAAGTGAATATCGACAATGCCAAACTCCTCGCAGGCTTGTTGAAGTTCGTCTTGAGTGATGTAGCCACTGCCGTCCTTGTCAAAATATGAGAAAGCTGCAAATAAGTGGTCTTCTCTCTCTATCTTGTTTAGATGCAATGTTGCTGCTATAAACTCTCCGTAATCAATTGTGCCACTATTATCAATATCTGCCTGCATTTCAGAACAAGTAGCGTTCATATAAGAACAACAAAACAAGAATAGCAAGAGATAAATCCTCATAAGTTACAAAAATAATCTGCTTCAATCGAAGAAAGGAAATTGATATGCTAGTTTACTCTCGCATTACTTAAGGATTAACACCGTAGGCCACATAAGCAATCATAGAATAGCGAACAGATTCTAGGAAAAATAATGCAAGCATTCTCGTAATCTACTAACAAGATGGGTCATAGACTGTCTAGAATTTTTAAGTTTTCCTCATGCCTGAAAGGATCGTTTTCCGAAGACCTAAAGGCAGTGAACAATAGTCCTGATATAATACTTACAGCTTGCATAAGATCATATATTTCGGACTCATTTAGATTAGCTCCAAATCTTTTGAGTCCATCTCTGAGTTCATCAAAAGTAATTTGACCACTATTGTCAGTATCTATCATCTTGAACATTTCTGTTAAACCAGCAATTTCTTCTTCCGAGAGGTTCTCTGCAATGACCTGCACACAATAAAGTCGATTTTAGAGGAGAGTACTCACAATGATTTATAATAAAGTTTTAAGTATAAATGGTAAATGCAAGACTTACTCTAAGAGCCATTTTCTTAATTTTGTTCATTGCAGAAAACTGCTTCAAGCGACTTAAAACAGCGGAATCAAGAGCCTTGTCTGGAGCCACTCCATCAACCTGAACCCATGGGTGGCCTGCAAGAAATCAGAACATACATTATTGGTTTGCACTGCTGATGTAATCCTCCAACAGAATGAAACCAATTCTTTTCACTTATAAAAGTTTCACCCCCAAAGTTTAATTTTAATCAATCATGTCAATGGTGCAATTCATTCCATGTTCTAAGTTAAACGTATTGCACGGAGGATCTGATTATAAGAGAAATGTAAGTGAATGCATAAAATCAAGAGCAAATGCGTGCGTCAAGCATACTATTGACAAGGGGATTACAGTGTCACTTTCTTAATACTATGTACATTCATATAAACTTACAGAGAACTTGATGAGCAGTTAGCCGCTTTTTTGGGTTTCTTACGAGCATTCTCTTAACTAGATCTTTGGCACTTTCAGAAATTCTAGGCCAGGGATCCGATGAGAAGTCAAGATCGCCATGCAGCACCTCTTCAAATATCTCTTGCTCAGTTTCTGTTTGAAATGAATAGAAAGAATAAGAAGAGGGGAAAGAGCAAGAGTGCTTTGTGAAAATTACACACATAGTCCAGACAAGAAGAAAAAAGTTTGTCCGGTAGGCAGATTAAAACTCTTACCACCCCAAAACGGAGGCACCCCACTTAAGAGGATGTAAATGATAACACCGGCACTCCAAACATCTGCTTCGGGACCATAGTGCTTGCGCAGGACTTCTGGGGCAACATAATAGGGGCTTCCAACCACATCACCGAATATCTCCCCTGTAAATTAATTGTATCAGTAACATAAAAGACACAGAAAATTTGTATGTAGCACCAGAAAATTACCTAAAAGTCAACTAATAACTGAGAGCTGGAAATGGTTTGACAAAGTAAAAGAAATATTATATACATAACAGGACGTGCTTGACATCATTCAGATACTAATACCAATCTGATTGGAGTTTCGCATGATAAATTCCCGAAATGTCAAAGGTATCGATTTTAAAATGATCTAAGTTACTATAGGCAAAATCATAAATGGAAATGAGATGGATCGAAAGAAAAACAATGAACATAAGATGGATCAGTAAGGTGAGAAAAAGCAAATTGTAAGACGTACCTGGCTTAAAGAATATTGATAGTCCAAAATCGATAGCCTTAAGCGGTGAATCCTCCTGCTCGTTGACAAAAAGAAAGTTCTCCGGCTTAAGATCACGATGCATGACACCCAAAGAATGGCAAGCTTCTACAACTCCAACTATAGTCCTCGTCAGTTGAGCTGCCTTTCTTTCGGTGTAATGCCCTCGCTGGATAATCCTATCGAAAAGCTCACCCCCTGCACATAATTCCATGACAACATGAACTGCAACAGCATCCTCATATGTTGCTTTAATTGTGATTACATTTTGATTCCCCGCCAAGTGATGCATAATCTGAATTTCTCTCCTCACATCCTCCACATCTTCTGTAGTCAGGAGTTTCCTTTTAGCGATGGATTTACAAGCATACTCCTTTCCAGTCGCTTTCTCCACACACAGAAAAGTCGTTCCAAACTGCCCGTGTCCGAGCTTTTGGCCCAAATTGTAGTACTCCTTCAAGTGCCCTGTTTTTGTTTGCAAGACAGACTCGGCCTGAAGCCCTGCACTTGCTACCCTCTTGACATTATAGGGCTTCTTGGGTTTCGCTGGCACTGCTGGCTTAGTCTTTTCCTTTTTCGCTACTACTTGTACCGGTCTAGCCTCTCCCATGTTAGTCTCTTCCTTTTTCGCTACTACTTGGACCGGTCTAGCCTCTCCCATGTGAATTGTTGGTGGTGCTAGTTTAACCTCTACCTTGGGAAGTGTTACTTGCCTCACAAGTAACGTCTCCTCCTTGTGTTTCCGAGGCAGTGCCGGTTCCTTAGGCTTGTCTGGATGAACCTTCTCCTTCCGACTTGTAGCCTGCACGGATTTATACTCTTCCTCCGCTATCTTAACTGCTTCTGGGGCCTTGTTTTGAACATAAAGAGTAGCTTCTGACGGATTCTTACTCAATTGCGGCATTTCATCAGTACTATTGATTCCCCTACTGGAAAAACCGCCCGTTGATCGAGACCACCAGAGTGAATTCGAGACTGAATGGATGAGTGTGTTCTTCGTTGATCCGACGCAGTTGTTCCCCATCTGGATAGCGATGTCTCAATTCTCATCAGAATTCCAAATGCAGACACATATCATACAAGGGGCAAAATCCCCTCTCTTTTCTCCCAAAAAGGAAATGGATATTAAAATGGAAGGACCAAAAATGGAGCATTAATTCCAATCACTTTAAGAACAATAAATACTTGAATCAAAGAAATATCACCATCTTCTCAAACAAAAGTTGTAATTCCCTCGTACCGTCGAGGTTCTCTGGGAAAAAGGTGCAACCTTTTAACCCCAGGAAGAGCCTCAAAATAGACAGAAACTCCAAAATGAACTAACCAAAAGGAGAAAGAGTATGATATTTCCTCAGAACCAATCAACCCTCCAATGTATACACAACAGAGAAGACGACTGCCCGAGACCGTAACCGAAAATTCAACAAAAACCCAATATTTTGGGCTGAAAATATTGATAAGTTCCGCGTCAACAAGGAAGAAAGTTTCAGATTATGAAGAGAGAGAGAGAGAGAGAGAGAGAGAGAGAGAGAGAGAGTGACAAAAAACAGTCGTTTCGTGTGGTTATTTAGATAGTGGAGAGAGAGTATTTGGATTTTCTCTACCCTTTTCCATACTATATAATCGCAGTCCGCACACGAACGGAGAAGGAAGGAAATTGTGGTATGAGAGAGAGAGGGGGTAGGTTTTTCTGTTGGAATGTTTCAAGACGCGTTTCTTCTCTTTTTTTTTTTTTTGTTGTTAATTTTTAACAATTTTGACTAAAACACACAGAAATTTTCACCTTCCCGATGGCCACTGAAGTGGAATGGACGGCTGGGATCTTTGCGCTTTGGAGGGTTTAAGGTTGGTAGGATATGACCGGCACGCCACAATGGGGTCTGACAACTGTAAGTACGCCTGGCAGCCGATTTGGTCATCTCGGGGGGTCATTGCGTGGGCTGGGCACTCCACCGCCGGCAGCAGGCCGTAGCCGGTGAGATTTCTTCTATCCGGTAGAGAAAAATTAATTTAATTACCACTTTTGCTCGTCAGACCAGCCACAAATTGAGTGATGATTTCCTTTCACGTGGCAGATTGAGTTGCGTAAATTTTAATCGCAATAAGAGCTTATTACACGTCATAGGCTTTCATTGGATGGTATATGTTGCCCAACTCACCGCGTGACATGTTGAACTGGTCCATACTTACTCCAAAGAAATCACGATTGCGGATACCATATAACTTAATTACATGGGTTTAGGGGAGGAAGAGTATAGTATAAGCAATAGGCATACTTAATCTCGTAGTCGTAGGAACATGTTTGACCGACTCCACGAGGTCGGCTGCTTTTCGTTGGTCAATCATGGATTACAAAGTTGTGTTGCACCACTATCAGCCTTCTGGTACTGGTATTGGTTGGTAGGGTATATGGAAACTTCGTACAAGACTTGCATAGTTGCATCTACCAATCAGAGGACTCCCCCAATCTCATTCCACATGAAAGTTTATTTATAATGTGAAACGAATCAATATGAAAGTTTATTTATAATGTGAAACAAATCAACATGAAAGTTTATTTATCTTGTGAAATGAATCAACGAAACATTAAAACGTCAGACGTCGACCTATTGATGTGACGAGAGGAAGATAGACACGTAGTTGTATGCAACCAGTAACATTAAATTGTGTTTTGTTGTCCAATAGACAGTCAGATATAATGGTTTCATCTAAAATATTTAAATCTAGTTGCTCATGCGACAATGTTTTGCATGCATTGACGCATTCTAGGAACAAAGGGGACGTTGAGGGGGTGTGAAAGGTGCAGTCGCACAGGACCCTAAATTTGAAGGGACCCCCAAAATTTTTGTCACCTAATATTTATATGTAATAATATTATATATTTAAAATTGCTTTTGTTATGAAATAATATTCTATATTCAAAAATTGATTTTGTTAGCACTTTAATCTCATCTTAAGTGTAATTTTTTTCCTTTCTAAATATAAAAATTTAGAGTACAATAAGATAGTTTGAGTGCCAATAATACACCATAAAAGATGGTATTTTTTCAATATTATCATATAATAATGTGACATATTCAAGTGAAACTTTAAAGAGTTTTTGAAGTTTGTTTTCTTGTTTGGTTGTTTAAGATTGAACTGCTTTTGATTATTTAGTGAACGTTATGTTTGTAACTCTTTTTACTTATTATTAATGACATTTTTAAACTTGCAATCAGTGAGTGCTAAACTTTGTTTTGATTTAAGTGATTGTTTTATAGCGTCAATATATTGTCCTACATTTTTTAAGATTATCTTAAGGAAGGGTGTTTTTATAAATTTCACATAGGACCCCTAAAATCTCAGATACGGCCCTGTCTATAAATAAACAGAGGATTCTCATTCAACATGAATATGTATATTTAATGTGAAGCGTGTGAAAAGGAAACAAGAAAAGCATAATATGTCATTGTCCTTAGACTCAGATGTCATAAAATTATGTACTTGAATCGAGAAAATGTGCCCTATCACAACCAATTTGTATACAACCACGTGTCTATCTCTCCCATCATCGATGAAAGAGGTAGACACATGGTTTCAAAATATACGATATGATCAGCTAATGCAATCAGCAAATAAGATTTCTCTAAGAGCAAGTTCACCCCTAAAGACTTTGCGCCAGCACCCAACGCATTTATCCACTCAAGTGAACAGTAATAGACTCTAGTGAACAATAATAGACCAAAGCATCTCCACCCCTAAAAAAATAGCCTAGTAAATTTATTAAAATATTATTATTTTTTATTATAAAATAATAAAAAATAATAATTTTATTTTTAATTTTTGACTTTATAAAAAAATAAAATAATAATAATATTGTTAAAATATTTTATTTTCTCATCTTCCACACTTCCCTTCCCTTCCATTCCTGCACGCCATCCACCCCAGCACAGATAATCCATTCCCACCGCCGTCTCCAAACCTCCTCCTCCCATCCTCCGATACCGTTGCCCTCCTATCCTTCAAATCCCAAGCCGACCTCAACAACAAGCTCCTCTACAGCTCATGCATCTCCACACCTCATGTCCTTCAACGCCGTTGCTTCGTCCTCCTACATCTCCACACCTCCAACGCCGTCGCTTCATCCTCCCGTCCTTCTCCCTTCGTAGCTCCTTCCCTCTTGTCCTTCTCCCTCCGTCGCTTCATCCGGATGTCATATGCCCCTCGACACCAAGCTTTACGTCAAATGGACCGGTCCCAAGGTCTGTCAATTTTGGACTAGCCTGGAGACCAGCTTGGGCTGGGTGCCAGGCAATGGAACGGGTTGGAGTGGATTGGCTGAGTGCCAACCTTGTTTTTTGGCTGAGTGCCGGCCTAACCACCTCCCGGTGGAACTGCTCTAACATTACAGGAAGATGATTCATGCTAAAACTAAAACCAATTAGCAAAACCATTGCTTTATAAAGATGGACACATTATTCTTTAGATGGGCTTGCAGGACACAATCCTTCATAGGATCTTCTCTACTATAAACGAGAAATTTCATGTTGTATTCTATATTAAGGAGAAACGGAAAATACGATACTAACAGGGAAACGGATGTAGTCATTCTTCAAACACATCACGGACAATGGACAACTCTTCTTCAAACATCTCTCACCAACCCAGAGAGATCAACTTGTCCTGAATCGCCGTCACTTGCTTTAGGAAAAGCTTCCTGCTGACGATGACCTTCAATGGGCACCTCTCGCCTCCTAGATGGTAGTGGGCAGGAAGGTCCCTCATCAAAGATGTGTGGAGTCCCAAAAGCACTCAAGAAGCCACTCTTCAACTCCTCCGCTGCTTCAAAGAAACGGTTGAGGCCACCCATAAAGTTGCGTTCAATGTCTTCAATGTCACTTTGTAACCCTGGGAAGTCAAACGCTCCATGCTGTGATGACCCAAAGGTGACAGACCGTTTTAGCATCTCATCGGTGACGTTATCTTCTGTGCACTCTTTGTTGGATTGCACCACTTCAACAGGCCTAACAAAAACATAGTACTCAGCAATTGGTTCTACATTGGTCAATGTTATAGCAACGTAAAAACCGCCCATACTCAAACAAGGGAAGAAAAAGAAAAGTTTTTTGTATGTGCTAGATAGCTCCAATTACGTCCCGGAGGCTGCAAAAGACAGTTGGAGACATGGTGCTCATAAATGTTTCACTACAGAGGTAGCTCATCCTCGTACCAATATATTATAGTGTTCATCTTTAATGTCAATGTAACTGTTTTCGCACAAGCATAAAATGTTTTATCCACTGCTAAACCAATTCTACTCGCTTCAAATTAAACTCGGACAATTTATCACGGAACAAACAGCACAAAGAACTGCTGAAACTGATACCATTCTCTAACAAGAACCGCAAAGACCTATTTTGCATAACCGTAAAATGACCTCAAAGCATATTCATCTGACATAATCTAATGAACGCCACAACTCTTTCTGTATGCAGAATCAATACAATCAAATCAGAAGTCTTATGTGCACTCTTATTAACAAGAGTAAGATTCAACCAACCCTGCAAATAACCACGCGCTATTTATACTTCACTAACCTATAAACCTCGGGCACTCGAACAAGCTATACACGAAGGCATAAAGATTAAAGACAGGCCCATTCTAATCTCTCGTCTCATATTTCCATATATATTTTTCTTAATTATAAACAACATACAAATTGGATTCAATTTCGTACTGCGTTGTCATAAAACTACAGAAAAACCAACATTCCTATAATCCAACAAATATCATAAAGTTCAACATTTTTCTATCCTAAGGCATAAATCCCAACAATAACACCCCACAAAATCCTCAAAAAAATAAAAAATAAAAAATAAAAAATAAAAAACTAAAATTGACATAGATATGACAAAATTCTGCTGAACAATTAAATCCAGACTAAATCAAAGTGACATCATCAGACAATTTCTATCAATTCACAGAAACCCTAGATAAAAATATTCCCAATTTGTCATTGGGTTTTAGGGGAATGGAGAAATCGATGAAGAAAGAGATTGGGATTTACCGGCCGGCGCAGTCCCTGAGAAGCTGCTCAGTCTTCTCGCACTTCCTCATGAACTTTCCAGGCTCCACCTCCTCAGTCTTGCACTGCGTCTTCACCACCTTTCTCGTCGAGCATCGCTCCCCATCCGATCTAGGGTTTATGTCAATCGCCGAAGAATTGCTGTCGCCTTCTTCGTCGTCCCTCCACACCCATCCCATCTTTCTTCTGTACCTCTCTGTTCGCGCCAACTCCAGAAAATCTCTGCGATTTTTGCTTAAGTCGGTGGAAGGTTTGGGAAGATCGATTCACTTCGGCTCCAAGGCTGCTTGTTGGGCTTTAATTGGGCGGTTGTGGGCTTTGTTGGAGAAGAGGTTTTCGGCCCGCCAAAAATGGATGCCATGTAGAATGACAATATCTCATTGGTGATACAGTCAAGCCGTTATTCTTATATTTTCTTTTAAGAAATGTAAGTACATGTCACTTAGTACTACGATATGGTAGTATTCTTCTTTAATCGAAAGTGAGAGGATCTAGGTTCGAATCTCATGGATGATGAATTCGATACCAAATTAAGTTACCTATTGTGTGGCTTAACCGAACTCCCCCTCCTCATTATACAAATATCAATATACTAAAAAAAGATAAGTACGTACAGTAATTTCAAAAACAATGTACATTAATAATGAAATGACACGTAATTATCATTAACGGTATGTACGTATACCGCAATGACGATGTTGTAAAACCGTTATTATTATACTTTCTTTTAATATAAGTATGTACAATAATTTAAAAAATAACGTACATTAATAATAAAACAACACGTAATATATCACATTAATAATGCAGCGAAACCGTAACAGTATAAAAAAAAAAATCAAAATTCCCGCACGCTCGGTGGGACTCGAACCCACAATCCTTTGATTAGAAGTCAAATGCCTTATCCATTAGGCCACGAGCGCCTTTGTTTAGTATGTAAAATATTAATTTATTAAGCTCTTAGTTATCATCGTATCCGCTGCTTTCTTCCTCCTTATTTTCGTGTCGATCTATGCTAATTAAGAGTTTAAGACTGAAATCCCGCGCAGAATACAATTTGAAGGGGAAGCATGAGAAGCTTAATCAAACTACAACGCTTGTGTTCGAGCTCAACCTGCAAGATTATCCATTTCCGCTTCTCAAACGTGTACAAGATTGATCGTTTTGCAACTGTTGCTCAGCCATCAAAGCCTAATAAGAAAACCCACTCCAAACCAGCACCAGAAAACGGCGGATTTGGCTCGCTCTTTGCTGAAATTACTGAGATTTTGGGAGCTGAAAACGTTACTGCGGATAAAACCCCATCTGGGTTTTTTATTTCGGAGGAAACCCCGGGGAGGGTTGGTGAGGCTGGGGAAGATTGCCAACCTTGCACGCAAACTGTTTGTAAAAATGCCGAGGAGAGTGTACTGCAAGAAAAGAAAGATATAACAGGTTTGGAGGATGCACAGGTGGAAAATTTGGCTGAAAGTGATGTTAGCCCCGTGGTTCAGGAGGTTATGAAGATTGTCAGGGCGGAGAGTGGTTTGGTTTCAATGGAGGAGATGTTAGAAAAATTGGGTTTTCCGTTGGATTCAGATATTGTTGACAAAGTGTTGAAGAGGTGCTTTAAAGTGCCACATTTGGCTTGGAGGTTCTTCAATTGGGTGAAGCTCAAAGAAGGGTTTTGTCATACAACTAAGACCTATAATACCATGCTGTTTATAGCTGGGGATGCAAAAGAGTTCGGGATGGTGGAGAAGTTGATGGAGGAAATGGAAAAACATCTGTGCGGGAAAGATGTTAAGACTTGGACTATTCTCATCTCACAGTATGGAAATGCTAAGTTTATGGGCAAAGCATTGTTCTTCTACGAAAAGATGAGGAAAGAAGGTTTTGAACCGGATGTAGTGGTTTACAGGTCGATGATACGTGCACTGTGTAATACTGGAAAACCTGAAGTTGCGATGGAATTTTACAAGGAGATGGTACAGAAGGACATGGGACTTGACATAAATTTATACAAGTTGTTATTAAATGGTATAGCGAGCTCCGGCGATACTGCTTCTATTGCCTTGGTTTCAGATGACATGATTAGAGTTTCACAGATTCCAGAACACATTGTTTATGGTTGTGTGTTGAAGAGTTTCTGCATATCTGGAAGAATCAGAGAAGCTTTGGAATTTATTCGTGAACTCAAGAATAAAGAGGTTATGCTTGGCCCCGAGTATTTTGAGACTTTGGTGAAAGGACTGTGCATGGCTGACAGAATTACAGACGCTTTGGAAATTTTGGAAATCATGAAGAGGAGAAATATTGTTGATGGGAAGGTTTATGGGATCATCATCAATGGGTACTTAAGAAATAATGATGCTGATAAAGCGCTAGATCTGTTTCATAGCATGAAAGAATCTGGATACGTGCCCACAACTTCTACCTACACAGAACTGATGCAACACCTCTTCAAGTTGAATGAATTCCAAAGAGGCGGTGATCTGTATAATGAGATGCTGGAAAGAGGAGTTGAGCCAGATATTGTGGCGATCACAGCCATGGTTGCAGGTCAGGTTCGTCAAAACCATATATCTGAAGCATGGAAAATATTTAATAGTATGAAGGACAAAGGCATCAAGCCCACATTGAAGTCGTATTCTATATTCATTAAGGAGCTTTGTAGAATTTCAAGGACAGATGAGATTCTCAAGGTCTTTGATGACATGCGAGCATCTGATATAGTAATTCAAGATGACATATTTAATATGGCTATGTATCATATGGAGAAAAAGGGAGAGATTGATAACCTTGAAAAAGTAAAGCAGTTGCAGAGGATCTATAAACTTCATCCCCGAGAAAGAGAAGAGGTATCTAATAATGAAGCATCTAGGGGTGAGGAGCTCAGTACAGGGACGGACTTTAATTACTTACAACCAGCAAAGATGGATTGTACATTAGTGGAGCCACTTTTAAAGGATTATGATGAGCATCGTTTGCAAGAAATTTGTAAAATTCTGTCCTCTTCAACAGATTGGCCCTTAGTTCAGGAAGCTTTGAAGAATTCTGCTGTTGATTTTACTCCAGGACTCGTTGTGGAAATTTTGAGGAATAGCAGCATGCATGGTTTCGTAGCATTACATTTTTTTGCATGGGTAGGAAAGCAAACTGGTTATAGCCACACTACTGACACTTACAACATGGCTATCAAAACCGCAGGGCGCGGGAAAGATTTCAAGCACATGAGAAACCTCTTTTATGAAATGAGAAGAAAAGGTTTCTTAATCACACCAGATACATGGACAATAATGATAATGCAATATGGTCGAACAGGTATGACAGAGATTGCTCTGCGGATTTTTGGTGAGATGAAGTCTAGTAATTGCCACCCAACTCTCAGTACCTACAAGTATTTAGTCATATCTCTTTGTGGGAGAAAAGGTAGAAAGGTAGACGAAGCAATTAGAATTTTCAAGGAGATGATCCGTGCCAGTCATGTACCTGACAAAGAGTTGGTTGAAACGTATATTGGTTGTTTATGTGAAGTTGGTAAGCTCTCAGATGCCAGAAGGTGCATAGATTCTCTTCCTAAAGTTGGTTTTTCGATTCCTCTTAGTTATTCCTTGTACATTAGGGCTCTATGTCGAGCCGGGAGGTTACAAGAAGCTTCAGCATTGATGGATGATGTTGGGGAAGACCGGTCAAAACTGGATCAGTATACTTATGGGAGCCTTGTACATGGACTTCTGCGGAGTGGACAATTAGAAGCAGCACTGGCCAAGGTGGATTCAATGAAGCAGGCGGGTGTAAATCCAACCGTCCATGTTTATACATCCTTAATAGTTCACTACTTGAGAGAGAAGCAGATAGGAAAGGCTTTAGAAATTTTTAAGGAAATGCAACAGAAGGGTTGTAGACCAACAGTCATTACCTATTCTGCACTTATTCGAGGGTACATGAACATGGAAATGGTTTCCGAAGCTTGGGATGTCTTTCACAACATGAAACTTAAAGGAACATTGCCAGATTTTAGAACGTATTCGATGTTCATCACTTGTCTTTGTAAGGTGGGCAAATCTGAAGAAGCAATGCAGCTTATAACTGAAATGTTGGAAAGTGGGATTGTTCCGAGTGTGGTGAATTTTCGAACCATATTTTACGGGCTTAACAGGGAAGGTAAGCAAGATTTGGCTCGCACTGTAATGGAGCAAAAGTTATCCTTAATAAGAAGCCGCAAGGTGCTAACATAATTCCTCCTATTCCTTACTTCAAATTTGGAGGTGCTGGCAGCGTTGATATAGGAGTAGCAGGGTGACACTCTTCCCTCCGTTGCTTCAGATCTGACTACATTAGCTTTCAAGATTTCTCATTCTCTCTAGCTCTTCTGTGGCCAAGGAAACCAAAAGTGAAGGTGAAGCTAATGATGCGACAGAGGATCGGTTTTTCAAGATAAAGGATTTGAAAGTCTTTGGAGGAAAGTGAAAGCAAGGGAAAATGGGCTAGAAAGACTGAAAACAAGAAAATAAGAACGGTGGTGAAGATGATGATGACAAACGACGACGACGTGGATGACAAAGATGCAGACAGATTTGCAAGGTACTTCCATCAGTAGTTGATTACAAAATCATGCTTCATCTATGTTTGTTTATCTGATACATGTATGTATCCACTAGTATATGCTTAAGCTTAACCATTGCTTGTGTGCTACAGATATGAAAACTTACATGGGGAAAAAAGGAAAAATCGCCCTCACGTAATGCAGTTGCAGTTGCGGTTGCTGCTGCTGCTGGAGAACTGGTTGTGTCTCCATACCTGTACAAATTGAAATTGGGTCCTGAGGCTTGACCGATGTGGTTCCAAGGGTTCCAATGTAATTGAATTTCTGTCGGAGAATTATAGACTCGGCTGCTTGCTTGGGCAACAAGAAATTTACTTTCCTACTTCAAAGGGATACCCGCAGGAACGACATTTTGTCCTTCTGGTTTCTGCATGAATTTTCCTCGAATTCATATCGTTAAGATTCAAGAACTGCAGGTAAATTCCTCGCACGGACAAGATTCGTATTCTGTACATTGTTTTGGCTCATAGACGTTGAGGATCAAACGAATTTTCGAAATGAAAAATTAATCCCGAAGCAATCAACTCTATCGTCCAGCCGAATCAGGCAACAACGCTTACAGCCACTGAATTCAAGTAATTCGACAGACACGAAATGTAACAAACATGAGTGATTATTAAGAGCTGCCTCTGAACCATCTTCATAAGATTACAGAATCATACGATGGAAAAATATTCGCAGCTCCAACAAATCTCAGCTCAATCTTCGTATTTCCAATGTTTAATTTATATCCAAACGACGCGGGAAAAATTTCAACCCAGGTCTTCAATTAAAACCTGGCTGTAAAGACGAACAATCTAGGCTCAGTTTACAGATTTCATTCAAAAGAAATAGGCCGAAAAAAAAATCAAGCATTTCAAAAATTTAACGTACTCACACTTTGTTGCGAAATCTTCTTGTCAATGGTGCAGTTAAACTTTGTTTGCTCAAGAACCATACTGTTTGAGATCCTAAGAGCCTGAAAGTTGCCGGATGATGGCCTCATTAGCATTATCCATCTGTTAATATGTTAACCATGAAAACATATAGATCCAATCTTTTCAAATAAATATTCACTTTACTACTTGACATTACAGGATGACAGCATAACCATATAAAGCAAATGGTACCCTCCATTCTCCCATAATCCCGTCGGAAGTGAGGTTTACGGGTCCATATCCATGAGGTCTCTGTCTGTGTGTGTGCTCTCGTACATTACCATGCCAAAGAGAAAACCATGCCCTTTCCCCAGGGGCATGGTCGTGAACACAGATATGATTATGCACCTTCTGCCCTATATGTTGACTCGTACACTCATTTTTTTCTATTGAAGATTGATGATTTAGCTAAATAGTTGCATCGTCTTACCTTTATTAGTGCTTCTTTACAACACTTTCATTTACACGCTCATAGTAAGTCATTCTCCGGATAGCTTTTAGAGCCTCTCCAAAGTTGCGGCTACGAAATGCGTTTGTAAAAATGTCGGACCAATGCTTTAGTTTCTCTTTCATCTAGATGAGCAAGAACAGAGATGAGTTGATAAAAAATAAAACGAATAAAAGGGCAATAAGGTCGACATTACGCATATTTTTATTGACAAAAGAGGTGAACTAAAAAGGTAAATATGCAAGCTCTTCTTCATGGAACTTGAGGAATCAGAACTGTTACAATAGAACAGAAGATCACAAAACACTAATTAACCTTAGTCCACTTAACTTTTTATCTTTTGGCATTTTCTATGTGCGATAGTTTTGAGAACCATGAACCTCTAGGAAATTACTCTACAAATTAGACTGCAAGCGATATGTGACAAGAATTGTCGTGTTCCTTCCTAATTATTCCCACATGTATGTAAAAAGTCTTGGTTCATACCTGAGATTGAATCTCATTCAAAGCCTGAGAGTCAGCAGCCTCTTCAACAGCTTCCCTGATTTCCAAAATCTGAACTTTCCAAGCCAGAAGGTATAAGAAAATCAAATTAATACTCACTCAATGACCCATCAACTTCAGCATATCCATCAAAACAAAAGAAAAACAACTCAGTGACTCCAAACGTCTACGGGAAATGTTTCCTCCAATATTAATAACAAAAATTCATTTCTTGAAGGAAAAGAATTCTAGAATAAGAAATTTAAGAAACCATCCCAATTGAAAATTTTACGACATAAGCTTCAACTAGATTACAAAATTTTCTGATGGATGATATTCGTCTCAAATATGTGCACTCCAAATATGTCAAATATCCATCAAGCTTACAGCAATAAGATCTTTACCATTTTTTCAGTCAATATTTCACTACACTCAGATTATGGGTAAAATTGCAAGGAGATAATAGGTTGTATAAATACAACAGGATTTCAACTTCTTCAAATCACCTCAGTTAGCAACTCTGATTCTGAAAGCGTCTCTTCTTCATCAACGTCCACACCTTCAAGCTTCAGCTGAAATAAATAAATAAATAAATAACAGTTTAATTTCAAAACTTGTAGAATATGAATAGCAAACACTAATAAATTGGATGATCAAGAAACTTTGCCTAGATGATCTTCTCGCCCTTATCTTTTTAATCATGGGACCCTGAAACTAAATGCAGTTACGGAAACCTACTCATAGAGGGAAATGATAATATACACACAAATTCACATCGTGAACTATTGAATGATAGGCTTATTCATCATGATGCTGTTGTTGCAAATGAAGAATGTGAAGTCATCCATGTTTTAACTAAAGAAAGTTGAGGTTCCACTATAAAATCAATTGGAAATATAAGTAGTAGCCCAACCTCCATAAAACCAATTGGCAATATGAGGAGTAGCTCAACCTTTTATAAGCCCATGCAAGGTCCCTCCTCCCATCAATGTGGGACTCATTCTCAACATGAACTATGCGTGTCAAGAACCTCTGTATCATGGTCACAACACCCACACACACACACATAGAAGCCTTTGTAAATAAATAAGTATTAGGGTCAGGATTGATATGTATCATACAAATATTTTTAGTTATTTACCAAGTAATCACATTCAATAAGACCCTTTTCTGCCAAACTAGTCCAGTTCTCAGAACATTGGTTTGAACGCAATAAAAATGCATCAAACGATAACCTCATAGGCAAAAATCACACTTACAATGTAAATTGCCCTTGCCAAGGGCTGGCTTAGTGTGCGGTATGCATCAATCACCCGAGCAGACTGTTCAGCTGCATACTCTCTTTCTTTCTATAACCATGGTAAACATTTAAAAAAAAAACATTTACTATATCCGAAAAGTGTTATCTTTTACATTTCCCATATGTTGAAAATGAAGATATGTATCACAAATACCTCTGATTTAGTATGAACAAGATCAGGGTGCAGTTTTTTCTGCCAGGCTTTATACTTCCCCTCCAAATCGTCCACTTTGGTATCGTACTTTCTCTCCCTGTTAATATTAATTTGAAAAAAATTGAAAACAAATCCTTCTAGTTTGTGAGAAATGCTCAAATAAGTATAACAGAAACTAGCTTTGTTTTCCCATAACCACGCAGACAGTGACTAATTAAAGATTCAAATTTTTCCCTAGGAATTGTAGCTCGTTTGGTTAAGAGCATTCGCGCATACACCTGAGATCCCGAATTCGACTTTTTCCCCCACCCCCAATATATATTATACCAAAAAGAAACAATAAAAAGTTCAAAACTTTCACCTTCTTTCTACCTCTCTCTCATTTTCTCAGCAACCAAACAGACAGAAATAACAAAGGGAGAGAAAACATTATTGTTAAAGCCTTAATTACTTACAGTCCAAATATCTGAAAGTAATCCACTGACTGATCCACCGGCTGAATGCACCGACAAGACGAACACAACAGAAACGGCACCGCTTCGGGCGAGGCACTACAGTTCCAGCACTTAGCGTCGGCTTTCTCCGCCGATTGGGAGCTGACGAAGCATTTCCCGGGAATTCTGTGATTCCCGGGAAAACCAAATCCGCCGAACGGGAAAAGGCGGCGGTCCGCTTCTACACTGGACGAAAAAAAAGCGGGAGATTGGAAATTTCTTGAGGAGTTGAAGGTGAAAAGAGCGGTAGTCGGAGTTAGGGTTCGCCGGAGAATGGCGGAGAGAGGAGTGAGCAGCTTCTTCGTCGACATTGTTGGAGCATATAGACTTGTTCAAATGCAACTTCCAAGGGTCTAACCGTTGGAGTGAGAAGTTGCTGGTCATTGGGACACAGGAGGAATTTGGCTCAAGGAAAAGGGTAAAAAGGGTAATCTCGGTTTGGAGATGAGTCTAGGCCCTGGTGTTTTTAAGGTTGACACGTTTTTCATACATAAAGTCTTTACGATATTTTCAACAAATTCGACAAAGGCCAAAAAAAATAAATTATTTATAATTCGCAAGTACCTCTTTTTAATTAATATTTTAAAATAAAAAAAAAATTAACAGACAATCAAAGTAAAAGAATAAAAAAAATCAAAGGAATAAAATCATAAGTAAAAAAAGGGCGTTTTGAAATGGATACTTCGGTTTTCAATTTCATTGATTAAATATTTATTTCTTTTAAGGTTTAGGGTAAATAAATGCTAAATTGACAATTGTTCAAAGCGTCTTAATCAAATTTTGTAAATGAACATATGTTTAGTCTAAAAAAGTTGGAAAAATGTAGGAGATTCTAATAACAAGAGTAGATTGTCAGACGCGTGAGCGTGTGTGGCAAGAGGCTAGTAATCATATAATTTGAAAGAATCAACTTGATCATATTACAATTCGACAATAACATAAATATTTTGTAACACTCTCAACATATATATTAGGCAAATATCTTATGTTGCTACACAAACCAGTAAAAGAACATTCATTTATAGAGAAATGATAAACGCACACCAATTTTTTCTACTACACATTTATGCTTAGCCATGTCCGTTGTTTCCGTTTTATTTATTCAATTTGATTGCCCAAAATGAAGATGAATGTTTGAGAGGCTAACGAAGATACGTGTGAAAATCAGATTTCATCTTATATTACCATCTGTATATCACGATATACATGTATGTATCAAACAAGAGTTTAAAAGGCTTGGGGGCCAAAGCAACTCCTACAATGAAGGAGAACAAGTCACTTGGCATAGGTTTCCTCAAGGATGAAGTAATGTGGAGGGAAACTTACACATCACGGACGTATGCACCCTTCGTGGAGGGGAACTTACTTGTCAAGGGCGTGAATTCTCGTTGTCGTTGAAGTTATTTTTCGAAAACGCAATATGTGACAAATAGATTTACTTTATTATTGTAGATTATTATTCCAGAATATCGTACATCCTTAATGTCTCCTAAAGCAGTATAATATATCTTTAAGCATCATATAAGTTTTTCTCATGGGTAACATGTTACAGTTACAGTTACAGTTCAGCCTCTTCCCACCTCTTAAAAATCTGTCTTTAACTGATGCTGAAGCAACAGAACCGAAGCGCTTTTTGCTGCCTCGGCTTTTTTGTTCTACTAGGGCGACTTTCTTGATCGCCGTTGATCTCGGAGTTCATGCGGTCGGAACGATGCATAGTATGATCGACAGCAGGTGTCTCTGTAGTTCCGTCATTGGAGGAAAGCAATGCAACCTGGTTACTGTCATGAGAAACCGAAAGTTCCTGCTCCAGGGAAGTAGGTAGTGCTCTGTTAGGGTTAACATCCTTGGACAAGGAATTCGAACCTGCATTGCTGCAACGTAAGATGAATAAATGAAAACGTTAACCCTTTTGGCTCCGAGATAAAATCAAGAGAGGAAGTAAAAGATTGATCATGGTGTCTTATCGTAATGCTAAATGAAGCGATAAAATATGTTCAAGGATAAGTTTATGAGAAAGAGGTCGCACTTGGTGCGATGGCAAGTGCCTTCGCCCATGAGCGGTAGGTCTCGGGTTCCAGACTTGGGAGCAGCCTCTCCATAAAATGGGGGTAAGGCTAGCCGACATTCACCTCTCCCAGACCCTGCGTAAAGCGGGAGCCTTGTGCACTGGGTACGACCTTTTATAAGTTTATGAGCTAATTTTGACGTATATGATTTGCACCGCCAAGAAGAAAGTATGATCAGTATTATTGACACAATTACCTTGAGTTGTGAATGACAGAGCCATTCCTTGCAGACTCGGGCTGAGTCGTCTTGACAAACTCTTCTTTAGATGCTTCAAGAACATGTTCACCACTTCCACAAACTCCACCTTCTAAAGATTTTGGGTTACCTGCATTATTTTCCTTTGGCGGGATTCCATTGGTGAAGCCAGAAGACGACCGCTTTTGAGCATTCAATCTATTTTGCCGAACCTTATAAATTACCTTTTCTAATGTTCCTAGAGCTTGCTCCACTTCAGAACTGACCAAAACATTTCCCTTTCCATTTACACGTTCCCTTTCAACAACTCTGTTGGGTGTTTGAACCTCATGTCGCCTGCTTTCGTCGCTCTCTACCTCCTCAATCTCATCAAATGAGCCTCCTCGTATAACTTTTGCAACTTCTGGAGCCACTCCACTTGCAGGGTGATCATTATCGACTTTCTGATCCACATCTACCAAACTCTCATCCGTCTTATCTTTTACCAGATGTTCTTCCGAGAGACTGAATGTATCATTATGTAGCTTCTTTTCTTCCAAAGCCCCATTTGATTTATTATGTGAAAAAAGAGCTTCACGTATATGAGAGTACAGTGGGCCACTCAAGGCCTTACTGTAATCGTCATTGCAGTTAAGCTTAGAAGACACTACCTGTAAGTTCGTAGGAGTGTTAGCATTAGAAAATGTGAAGAAACATAAAATAAAAAAAAATAGAATCCCATACATTAGAATGAAGGGATGCTTGCATGCAGTTTCGGCAGAACGCCCAACATGCAACCTCAAGAAATTTCCCTACCCTCCCCTTCCCTTTCGAAATATCTCTTTTGAGTATATAATTTTTTGCACGTCTATGTATCTTTAGCTGCATCGTTTATACTAAATACGAAACATATAACCTTTTGGTAGAGTTTGAGACCATTGCCAATGAGCTGCCTCGAGATAAAATTTAAAAGGGATGGCGGGACGAAATCCATCTTTATATCCGTACTTGATATTGTCCTACAATAATAGACGTTCTTCAAAGCTTTAATTACAAACCACAGAACAAATTCAACAGGTATTATATTCAAGTTGCCATAGCTTACCGAAAGTAACTTCTTTCGTTGGTAACCTTCTGCAAAGCAAAGCCACCCACCATATCTATCCTTACAGCATCCTTTGCTCCAGCAGTAGCCTCATTGGTGGGACAATGAGTATCATCAATGCTTTCCAAGTCGGAGATCTGAGACGACATTTGCAATAAATCAGTTTATTCAGGTTTCTATTTTTGAATTGCAGGAGTATAGGGAATATGGAAACCAAAATAAATATTGAAGCCAAATGATTATTTTGGTTACCAACCGATTTAAAGAGCACAACAATCAGATCATCTTGGAAGTACTCAAACATAAAATAGTGTACAGCTGCCTCCCTAGCTGAAAGTGGCCATGGAATTTTCATCCTTTCTTCCAAAAATATAAACAAAACTCAGCATTCCATATGGAAATATTCTCGGCAGTGAGAAATCAAATAAGAAAATTTTTAACACATGATATAGTTTTATGTTTTATCTTAGACAAACCTCACTAAAGATATCTGTTCACCGATCCTGACCTTCTTCAAACATTTGCTAGAGAGGATTTTGAAAGTTGGAACTGTAGACTCAGGCCACCTGGAGGAAGTTAAAATAAACCCAATTATTGTCTAAATGAGTTAAATTCCTTCAGTACAGGTCTTTTAGCTCCTTAACGACACCGTTGTTGCAAACTTGTAGCCCATTTCTCACAGAAAACAAATTTTTCAGTATAAATTCCATCAAGCAGACCATATCTCATTACAAAATATATGCATAAATCAAGTGCACATGCAGTGATTGAAATGACTTACCATTTCTTGTAAAGGTCTGACTCCCACGAGATGCATAAACCTACAACAAAAGGAACCTTGTTTGTCTCAAAAACACTCTTTTAAAGTTCAATATTTGTTAATGAGGCGTATGAACTTTCAAGTATTTTGGTTTCACTTACAGACATCTACAGGCCCGTCTACATAGCCTTCAGCAAGTAATGTATGAAAGGGACTGCCTTCAATTCCCTCACGATACATCACACGGAACTCTTCATTATCGTGTTTTAACTGTAAGCAGAAGTATATTTTGAACGTCAGTGTCATCACACAGGGGTCACCACGCCTTGTTGATTAAAGAATAGAAAAACCTAATAATCATTAATATAAATGAAATAACATTTAATGACTACTGATCAACATCCCAATTGAATAAACCCCCTTAAAATTTCAAATATATTGATGTAAATGAATAGCATTAAATTTCAACAACAATAAAAACCATTTTCCAAACAAGCGAAGGTCAAAAATTAGAACTTTACAATGTTCATGACGATGTTAAGTTTTAGAAGTTGTGCGTATTGAAAAGAGAGAGTCAGAACCACTTTCCCTTTGTGCATGATAACAACAAAACTCAGCAGCCTTAATTCTCTCACTTATTAAAACGAAGAGAATTGATTCTACAGAAGCAAATTTATAGTTGAGGCCATGAGGGAGAGGCGCGCACATACACATACACATACACACACACATATATACATATAAGGGATGGAGAAAAGTATTATAACTACGAAAACAGTTACAGAGCAAAGCAGGATTTGAAGAACATAATGCAGATTCGATAACATACTTTCCATTCGGGTTGGGTTGTGGTCTCACAGGTTTTCAATCCCTTGTCATTAATAAGGGAAGCGCTCCTTAACATATCCAGTAAATTGGATACTTCAGCCGTCTTTTCTTCAACCATATTCTCATTGCATCCTACAGGAGCCATAAATCTAAAATTATTAAGTGTTCACATATTTCTTACATCACTTTAAGACATCAGTGGCGCATGATTGGTGCCGGATTAAATATGTCAAACTCAAAAAGGAATTTGTTAAGAACTAGCAACCTTCATTTTCATTTTCCAAAGAACGAATCAGCTGATTCTTGACAAGGGTTTTTAATGCTTCCTCATCACTTAGACTAGGAGATGCCAGTGTCCTGTCCAGCCTCTCCCTGTACTGAGTGATCTTTTGCGGTTTCTTCATCTTCGAATCTCCAAAAAAATGCGAAGATCCCTCGCTAAGAAAGTTATGCTATCAATCAAGCCAGATATTCCCAATATTTTGCAACTTCATTCCCTTAACATATAATTATATACAAAAACAAAAATTAGAGTCTGTAATAATCAAGAAAAAGCTTCAAATATCACACGTGCCAAAAAAAAAAAGACAATCACTTAACCTTTCATTAAACAAACTGTTATATATTGAAATTTATAAGCATATTGAGCAACCACAAACATTCAACTCCAATACTTCTTTTGAGTATTCCATATTGGGTATTCAGGTTCAATACCAATACCGGTTTTTCTTATTGCATAGAACAATGTTCACTCTCTCTTTTCCGTAGTTTAGATGAATTTAGCGTAGATTATCGCTCGTATCAACAAATTCCAATATTCACAACAACAACAAATTCAGTTTTGAGCAGCCGGGGGATCGAAATAAAAACACAAAACTCTAATTCGAGTGCCTACACATATAAACATCGGATGAAAATCAACAAAAGAACAAACCAAAACAGCAGCAGAGATAAAAAAAAAAACGATAAAAACCCATAAGAAATTTCAATCAAAAGTTTGAGACTTTAACTCACAGGAAGCTCTGTAACCAGATGCAGTGGCTGCCCAGTTCACAACTGTGAAGTCTGAAGAGAACCCAGAATTCGAATACTGAAATCTTGAGGATTTTGTGCAGATCTCAATGGAAAAGTAATAATTCGGAGCACTGAAAAGGAGAGAAGGCCAGCTGATTTTTTATACCCCCGGACGGATTTCAAACATGGAAAAAATAGGTCCTCGGGCGTACCGGATTGCAGACGCATAGCAGATAGCTAAAAGTCTAAAACTACATGCTAAAAAACATATCATAAATTAGAAATCATATTTGTTTTTCTTTTTATAAAATGATACTGGGTAGAGGGTTTTTGATCCGTAACAATTTTATCGAATTTATTTTCTTAAGAGCTCGTTTAGAATTGCATTCAAAATAATCGAAAGTGTTTAAAAAAAAATATGTTTTTAGGTTTCAAAGTACTTTAAAATTTAAATGTTATCGAGAAGAAGCATCAACTATGTGTCTTTTGCATGCAGTACGTTAAGCGTTTTTTTGGGATTCATTTGTATTTTTACTAAGAATTGGTTCCAAAAATAATTTCATCAAAAACGTTTTCAATTATTTTAAAAGCACTTTTTAGACAAACTAAGAAAATAAAAAGTGAATTAGGGGAGACAAACAAGCGTAGTAGATAAAAGGAGAAAAGAAATAAATGGTTACATGTATGGTTGAACTATTTTAGAGATTGTCGCATCACATTCACATCTAAATACACTTGGGGCTCATTTACTTATTAGTAATGCAAAATGAAAAGAAAGGGAATGGATTCCGTCCTTTACTTATATATAACCGACAATGATATTACTTAAAACCCGTAATTAAATAAATTAATTTCAGCAATTTGATTAACCAGGGGGAGGTGTTAATCCAATTCTCTTTCTTCACCTTGTCTATTCCAAAGTGAATTGATTCTTTAGTTTCTCATTACTTAGTAAGTAAACAAACTCTATAGTATTTTTTTCTTTTGTCAGTTCACCTAAATAGAGCAAACTATTTGGCATATATTTAAAAAATTGCTATTAAAATTTCAAAAAGCTCATTATTTACTGTTTACAAATATATTTTTCCTTCAAATATTAATTTTTTGCAGTGAAAAATAATAATTTTAAGGTAACAATTATCAATATTTATGTCAATATTCAAAATCCGTGGGGTGCAATGCATAAAATACAGTTGACATGGTGATGTTGGAGGTGGATTGTGTGCGCTCCTATTTCTATACTTTTCCCATCTTATCCGGTGTAGTCATGGTTAAGTCACGTCAACATTTTATATTGATTTTTTATAAAAATAATAAAATAAAAAGTAATAGGGATATAAAATGTTGACGTGACTTAACCCGTGATCACATAAAACAGGAAGAGATGAGAAGGGTATGAAAATGGGGGGAGCAGACAATCCATCTCCGGTGATTTTAGCAAGAGCCGAGAGGGTGTTTGACACGTTGATTTATTCGTCAACTAGTTATGGACGTAAGACATTCATTGACGTGGCGGTGAGGTGCGGTTGGACGGAATAGGAAGCCACTACTAGATTCGGTCCCCTACGCGCAATTGAAGCAAACCATGGGTGTATTCAATTGGAACATTTTGCATTGCCTACTAGTTAAGTTAGGTAATAACGTATTTTTATTGTATAAATTTTTATAATTGTTTAATTTTTTTCAACTATTATTTAATTATCATTTTTGAAAAATCATTTAGTTATTTAAGGTTTTAAATAAATCGGCAGTTTACTATGCATATGTTACTTGCTATTTATATTATCAATTTGTTGCATAAGTGTATATGACTAAACAACATTTGGCTCGAATGATGCTTTGTAGAGAGGATCTTCCAAAAAAGATTAATAAATCGAACAATTTTGATTATGTTTTTGAACCTCAACTTTTTTTATGATATCAGAGCAAGTTGTATGTAGGAAGTCCAAAGGCGATGCATGCTCCACATTACCTCTGTTTGTATTGTCCACACGTTTGGCTTGAAAATCGCCACACGCGGGGAGTGTTGAAAATAAATCTCCAATTCATGAGGAAAATGATTTTGCATCTACAATAAACGTACGTTATTCGCAAGAGCTGAATATAAGGCGGAGATAAATATTATCCTAAACTCTATTGAACATGTTATAGTATTGCGGAAGAAATACATCATTGTACCGTAGATGATATTCTTACCTAATAAGGCATTTGAAATCTAAGGGCCTCAACATGTTGGAATAGAATGTTGTGAATAAGGTGAAGTTCTTACCTAATACACGTGAATGTTTCCTGGTGTGTACATAAAACCAAAAGAATGTTGTCGTTGTGAGTCGGTGAGAAAAACAAATCGATTTCTTTCTCACTCGCATAAAAATAAATAATAAAAACACAAAACAGATGGATTTTTCGAATATTATTCCATATGTCGGATAGAATAAAAGATTTGGATGTTGAGCATGTGACTGGAATCACTGGATAATTAGATGAAAAGAATCTGTAAAATAATTTGAGGATATGCGCACTCACATTTCTTATATGCTTAGTTGTGTCCTCCTTTTGATAAGATTAAAGAGAGCATTGACAATGAAAGAAATGAGAAGTGATATCCGTGCATCATTTTTCTTTTCCTGCACATACCAAATGAGAATTGAGGGATAGAAATTAATAAACTGTGGTGCGCAACAAGAGAAAAGAAGTGTGCGAAAATTACGTAAGATGGAAAAAAAATGAGAATTTAGTCGAAAGGAAAGGAGCAGTTCAGAAGAAAATGGTGAAGAAGGTTATGTTAAGACAGTCTCGGTGGGGAAAGGAGCAATGTAACAAGGAAATGGTGGAGCTCGTTTGAAAATTTGGTTGTGGACCTTGTGGTGCCGGGCGGCACGGTGATGACAGTGGTGGCAGCTGTGGAGTCGTAGCAGTTCTGTCTACGGAGGGGGGAATAGAGACGGAGACAGAGTAAACATGATGATGGTGATGTAATGTGTGAGAAAGAAAGATGTGATCCTAAAAAAATTGACTGGTCACAGACTATGGACCAATTTTTCGTTGAACTAATGTTAGATGAAGTGCGCAAAGGAAATAAGGTTGGTCGCACTTTCAAGAAAAAATCATGGATTACCATGATCACATGCTTTAATGAGAAATTCGGGTTTCAGCATGGTAGGGCGGTATTGAAAAATCGGTACAATGTGTTCAGGAAACATTACAGTAGCGTTAACATTCCGCTTGATCAAAAGGGTTTTACTTGGGATGAAACACAACAGAAGGTGGTGGCTGATGATCCGGTCTGGAACAAGTATATCCAGGTATATTTGAATTGTTCTTGATTAGTGATTTAATGGAGACATTCTATTGCTCGTACCTTACTTTGTTATAAATGCAGGCACATCCCAGTTTGCACATGGACAGAAATAAAGTTATGTCATATTATTCCGATTTGTGTATCATGCGTGGAAATGACGCTAGATTTTTGAAAAAGTTCCATCAAGCTGCAATCGAGCTCTTTACAAGGGAACCATTGCCAAGAAAATTTACGGAGATGCTCAGAAGAAGTCAATGGGTTGAAGTGATGTCAAGAATTTTTCAGATCAAAAGGAAAGGCACGTCCTGTAAGCACACAAACCTTACAACAGTCTAAGAAACCATAAAGTATGGATGGAGTTGCGGCCAATGCTCTAGGAGATATGGCAGTTGCAGAGTAACCGTTGAAGAAGAAACTGAAGAAAGAGGCATCTGTATCCCTAGAGAAAGTTATTGATGTCCTAAATGCTATTGACATTTTGAAGGATGAGAAGAGAGCCAGGATGTTTTTAGCATTGCACCCCGCCCTGCGAAAGAAGTGGTTGTGGAGAAAGCTTCGTCCATAGTGATCTATCTTTCTTCCTCCTCCCATTACCTTTACAAGGTATAGTTTTGTATATCTCGTAAGTCGTAAATTGGGCACATTGAACAATGCTAGCAATATTTGTAGAAAGAGCTCCTTGCTATACAATTATACTTGCTTTTTCTTCAAGTAAAAGTCGTGAATCAAGCAAAATTCTAGTCTCTATGCTAGTACTGTCAATCCTTTTTCTTCCACAATTCCATTCCCTTGTGTTCTTTCAGTGTGTCCTTGGGACGAATTCTTTTCCATTGTGACGGGTACACAGACTCGGAAGAGGCCTATCCACAAATGGGATATTAGCAGATGGGGAGGGGGAGGAGTTTTCTCTGAAGTCCAATGAACACAGAGACTGTAAGATTCATAATCAAGTATAACATATGGCAGCGGAATAATACAAACACATAACCAATATAACTACTAACCTGTTGGAGACATGTCGAAGAGTACAAAGGATCTTCTGCGACTCTTCTTCTGCTGTATGTAATTATCTCAGTGAATGGGGCCTGAGCTTTAGGGTTGTTTGCGTAAGAAGAGAGTGCAGGGACCCCAAGTATTTATAATATCAACAGCAGTAATCAATAAGGACACTACCCATTGTGTGACTCCTTATTAATCTAACTTTATCACTGTTATCACTTATTATTCATATTCTATATAAGAGTTGTAATTCTATCATGACTGTTTAAGCTACAAACCTTAATACATATTCCTTATCAGCTTACAAACATAGTTACTGTTAATCTCTAATAGTCTCACGTGTCTATAATAAGATCCATCCAAGTGTTTAGCTCTCTTTAGAACTTACAGAGACATCATGCAGCCTAATTACGCCACTAATAAAATCTTCTAACAAAATAGCCACACAGGTCTTGGTGCAGCCCATTGTTTGCAAGGCCGGAAATAGCATATGTTGTCGCAAAAAATTGGGAGGTCAACAAAGAAATTTTGCTTCTCCTGATGGATATTTTCAACGAGATTGAGACTTGACTAAAAAAAATTCGCTTCTGTCGTTGATGGAAATTGGAAGACGCGATTTTTCTTTCCAACTTGAACACCAAACTCCAGAGCCTTAATGAAACAAGACATCGATCAGCCACTTCAACTTGCAGAAGTTTTCTTTATATCATGCCTTTAGCTCCTCTTTAGTTCATTAAAACTCTCTCTGCAGCACCGATCTCCATATTACTTTAAGCATCAGTAACAAGCGTTACACTCTTTCCGAGTGACTCAAGTAATCCATGGAGACAGTTAACGAGTTAAACCAAGAAAACGATCAACCATGCCAAATTAAATACCAGTTTGGGTTAAAATTGCACCGAACAATATGATGTTTAGATGAATGTTTATAATTTGTGTAAGAATTACAGGTTAAAAATCAGAGTCTGCAATAAATAAAACTGATCCCAAAATTACGAATGCGAACCTGAAAGAAAAAATGCCAAGAAAACTATATAACTACTACATCTAATTGTCAGACTGATTGTAAAATAACGAATACAAACAATCCTCAATCCGAGAAAACCAAAGCAAATGCGCGCTAATCCTTATTGTCAACACCGTTGCCACACTTATATTCCACGTCTCTCCATGCGCGTTCTTTCATTCCACTCTCTCAGTTTATTCAGCATTGTGTCAAATAAAAACCGATACACTGCGTCAAGTTTTCTGGCGTAGTCAAACCATTTGAAGATAGCCCACCAATGAACCTTAGAGCATTTTTCGACGAGCTCTAAACCCGTCTCCAGTTGTGCTCTGAGATTCTCTAATTCCTCATTTGAGTTACTGATTCTTCCGCGAATGGTGTGAACGGTTTGCACGATTTGAACTTGTCTAGTGTGTTTTCGAGATCTCCGAAGGTGTGCTCAAACATCCTAGTCTCGCCCCTGGCCTTCGCTAGTACAACAACCACGTAGAGCATCCTAAGGGACCGAACCACTTTTTTAAGAGCATCCCAATTCCCTTCTTCAATTCGGTCCTCCTCAGCCGCCGCCATCGTCTCCGTCGTAGTTTGTGTATTACTCTCCTCTCTGAACGATTTGAACAATAGGTCTAAGTCGTAGCACAACATTTATGTCCGTCCTTTAAAATTGTTAGAAATAATCTGTAATTTTACAAATTATTACACTAGTTGTCCTTACGTGTATTAAATTATCAAGTTAACAATTATTCATTTACGGGAACTCTTTGGTCATAGGGCGCCAAATTGATGTCAAGTAGGTCATTTTATTAACAATGTTGAGATTTTATTTAGTACTTATAAAAAAAGTTCTTATTTATTGGCCCTATTGTACTTGTTAATTTATACGGTACCGATATTACGTTCATGTATGTAAACGAAAAATAGGTCAACTACGAGTATTTAAAAAAAAAACAAACGTTAATTTACATTTTTACGGTAAACAAGCAAAATAGACACCAAAAAAGAACATCGCTTAAACTTCATTAATTAATTAGTAAAAGAAAAGCACACCCGGAAGAGATCATTTATTGGTTTTTTATTTGATTGATAAGTATGCATATGAAAAACTAACACACTTATTAAGAATTGGCTACAATAATAGAGGAATCTAATATTGTACATGGGTTATAATGTGCATCAAGTGGTATATCAATTTCGTGTGTCTTACAAATACTCTCGGCCTGTATTCCCTTGTATAAAGAGAAAGCGAAGTTTTCCCTTCTTTTTTGGTGTTGGAATTGCCCGAGAATTCGACTGCCGTAATATTATTGCTATCTGTAGGATTCCAAGGTACGATTGCGATTAGGGTTTTACATACACATGCAATTTCTTACTTAATCCCTTAATCTAATTAGTTTACAAAAGATTAAATACTCTATATATGCAGTAAAAAGAATCAAACGTTTAATAACGACACTTGTACAAAAGGTAGCCCTAGTCAATGAAAGCTCTCCTTTTCCTCCTTGAGAAAATAAATGTAGAACTCGATAACAATTGTAACAAAATAAGTAATGCATCACGACGCCATGGTCTCACATCAAATAATGCCTCACAACCGATTCACGCATTTCCATCTCATCCAATTGCGTAATTACCTTAGCCTTCAATTTTTCTAATGAACTCTTGAACTGCTTCAGTTCATCTACCTTTTTCACATTCTCGATTGGCTGATCCCACCAAAATTTGCTCGCCTCGTCCTCCTCCATCTCCTCTGTGTCTTTTTCAAGATCTAAGCCAAGATTTTCAAGATCTATGCTCGTTTTGGACACCATACAAGATTCCATTGAATTGGACTCGATTATACTACTGCTATCTGTATCATGATCTTCAGCCTCAGAACTATCATGCATAGAGATGTATTGGCGGCCATGCAAGGCAGTGTTTACGCGTTCAAGGCGAGAGAGGACAGAATCCACCGATGGGTGGCCAAAGACGTACAGCCTGCCATACGGAGAAAAGACACTGACGGCCACCTCAGCGCCACACAGACCGCTGAGTTGACAAGCCTTTCTGAAAAGACCGCCCCTCCGCTTCATAAACGAGACCAGCCGGGAATTTGGTTTCTCTATTTTCTTGATAACAAGTCTTCTTTAAACATGTTTTTGATTTGGAAGAGCGGTACTGATAATGCCTGGCATATCTCTAGCAAAAATGGAGCGAGTTTATGGAGTTTGCGATCTTCGGTAGGTTTGTGCTTGGAGAAGAGGATATAAAGGAAGAGATTGGAGAGCCCTAGAGTGGGATATATATACACGCACTAGCGGAGCCAATGCGGGGGCATTAGGCTGCGTTGACCTCAATAGATTTATAACTTATCCCTTTAAAAAAATATTTGATCCCTTTAATAAACTTTTCAAGTTGCGAGTCCTACCCTCTTCCTTTCTCACGCTATCAGAAAAGTGACTTTTCCCAGAAACCATTTTTCACGCAATTACGAAAGTGAATTTTTCCAGAACCCAGTCCACACTAGAAGCCAGCGATCTCTCTTGTTCTTCAGGTTGCGTTCTTCTGGCCTGGCTTCCTTCCTCTGTTAAGCTTCTCTTATCTAAAATTTCATTATTTATTTGTTTAGGTTTTTAAATTTGGGGAGGGGAGAATTTGAGCGAAAGAGGGGTGGGAAATTTGAAACCATCATAAGAAAAATTGAATCAATTCACCCATGTTAATTCCTGTATTGTAATTCTAAACCAAAATGAATGATAACAATATAAGATTTTAACATACGATGAAGTTGTAGCAGGAAAAAGATAAGGCAATCAAATGGAAATAAAGGAATAAGACAAATTCAATCACATGTAAAATGAAATATGAATTGCATAATTGAATGGATTTATAATTGAACCCAAAGGAGAAACAAAACAAACGGGAAAGGGGAGGGACAACTGAGAAGAGTGAAGGGATGAGGTTTGCAGTGATTGTGACTCTGTGAGACATGTTTATGGGTTTGATTCAGTGGGTATATTCTAACAGTGAAGGGATGAGGATTGGAGGGATGGTGTCGACAAAAAGAATTGGGGAAGGATGTCTGGGACCCTGGGTGTCGTAAAAAACAATTGTGGGGTTTGTATTGCTCTGTGAAAGTTAGATTGTGGGGTTTATCTCAAGGTTTGTGGACAAAAAGATTTGGGGAAGGAGGTATGGGACCCTAGGTGTCGGCAAAAAAAATTGTAGGGTTTCTATTGCTCTGTGAAACTTAAATTGTGGGGTTTGTATTGGTCTGTGAACCCTGCTTCTCAATTGTTGTTAATTTGATTAAATTTAAAGATATTGTTGATTCTTTTTGGTATTATTTAAAACAGTTAAGGAGAGGTATTTTAAGAGAAAATCAATCGAAGATAACCTCTTACCCTCTACAACGGATATTCTTGAAAGTTCAAATGAAAATAACATAGAAAGTATACTGACAAATCTTCCAAGAGATCCTGGGTTTCGACTCCGGATATCAAAATATGATCCAAATATTAGAGATCAAGTCCAAAGTGCTTATTTACAAAGGGAATTGGTTCAACCTCGAACCCATCAATTTCCATATACGTCATTTGCAGGAGTACAACGTCGTTTCAATCCGAAATGGTTCGATGACTTTCCTACTTGGTTGGAGTATAGCATATCCAAAAATGTTTTTTGTCGAAATTGTTATCTCTTCAAGCTAGAGATTCCGGATCAAGCATGTAATGACAATTTTACTAGCAAAGGTTTTCATAATTGGAAGAAAAAATGTTGACTTCGAGTTCATGTTAGAGGTCCTAATAGTGCTCACAACCAAGCTTTACTTCATTGTGAAGCTTTAATGAATCAGAATCAACATATTCAAACAATTGCCCACAAGCAGTTGGATCAATCACGTATTGATTATCCCACTCGTTTGAATGCATCACTTGATTGCATTCACTTTTTATTGCGACAAGGTCTTGCTTTTCGTGATCATGATGAAAGTGAAGATTCAAGCAATAAGGGTAATTTTCTTGAGCATTTAAAGTTTCTTGCATATCATAATAAGGGTATTAAAGGTGTGGTGTTTAAAAATGCTCCTGAAAATCTCAAGTTAACATCACCTGATATTAAAAAAGATCTTGTGTATGTAGCAGCATGTGAAACCACCAATGCTATCATGTTTGATATTGGTGATGATGCTTTCTTTTCTGTTTTGGTTGATGAATCGCGTGATATATCAGTCAAGGAGCAAATGGCAATGTACTTTGTTATGTGAATACCAACAGACAAGTAGTTGAAAGATTTGTGGGCATAAAGCATGTTCCTAATACCACTGCTTTTTCACTTAAAGAGGCAATTGATTAGTTCTTCTCCATAAACGGATTAAGCATATCTAGATTGCGTGGACAAGGTCATGATGGGGCTAGCAATATGCAAGGTGAGTTTAATGGCCTTAAGACACTTATTTTGAAAGAAAATGAAAGTGCATTTTATATTCATTGCTTTGCACATCAACTTTAACTTGCTCTCATAGCCGTGGCGAAAAATCATATTCAAATTGGCTTTTTTTTTTTCTACTTGGTGAATAATGTTGTTACTATTGTCGGAGCATATGTAAATGTCGAGACATGGTTAGAGAAAGACAACAAGCCAAAGTTATGGAAGCTATTCAAAATTATGAGCTTCCAAGTGGACAAGGCTTGAATCAAGAAACTAGTCTTAAACGTGCAAGTGATACACGTTGGGGCTCACACTATGGTACCTTGGTAAGCTTGATTAATATGTTATCTTTTGTAATTGAGGTGCTTGAGATGATTGTAGATGATGATGTAAGTCTTGATCAAAGTGGTGAAGCAGATGTTTTATTGAATCTTTTGCATCTTTTGATTTTGTCTCTAGTCTTTTTTTTATGAAAGAAATATTAGCAATCACAAATGTATTGTCACATGCATTGCAAAAGGAAGATCTCTATATAGTGAGTGCTATGGCTTTAGTCAAAGCTTGTAAGCAACAACTACAAGTAATGATGGATAATGGATGGGATGCTTGGCTTGATAAAGTTTCTTGTTTTTGTGGCAAGCATGATATTGATATTCCTGATATGAATGATATCCTTGTAGCTCGAGGGAGGTCACGGCGTAGAGTTCAAAAATTGACAAACCTTCATCACTACCGTGTTGATCTTTTTATTGATGTTATTGATAAGCAACTTCAAGAGTTGAACAATCGTTTTAATGAGACAAGTACAAAGTTGCTTCTTTGTGTTGCATACTTAAGCCCATATGACTCATTCTCAGCTTTTGACATTGAAAAGTTAGGATAGGTGATCAATGGTTGAATGATAGTTTGGTTGTGTACATTAAGAAAGAGGTATATGATTCTATTAATAATGATGTTGTAATACGATGTTTCCAAAATATGAGAACACGTCGTGGACAATTATAAATGAAAATATGATCGATTTTAAAAGTACTAGGTTGTCGTTTGAACAACCCGAATCCCTAAGAGCCCATACTTAAATCCACTAAAGTATTGTACCACATGCACATACTTAAATCATTTGAACAGCCCGAATCCCTAAGAGCCCATTCTCAATATTCCTTAAGTTTTAAAAGTACTAGGTTGTCGTTGGCTTGTACTTGTAGTTAGAGGTAAGAAGCAGCTTTATCAAGTTCTTGTCTTTAGCTCATTACGATGACGGTTGTATTGTCAAACTCCTTTCGCCCACGTTGCTGATGGAGGAAGTTTGGAAGGTACTTTCTCTCTCTCTCTCTCTCTATCTCTCTCTTTCCCCTTAATTGATTATTAGGGTATCGTTCGTAATGATTTGATGACAGTGACAGTCACTTAAAAGCAGTGGAGGAGCCATGAATTTAAGACAATGGGGTCAAAAAATAGCTTTCAAAAATCGATCATACTATCATTTATAATTGTCCACGATGTGTTCTTATATTTTGGAAACGTCGTATTACAACATCATTATTAATATAATCATATACCTCTTTTTCAATTTACACAACCAAACTATCATTCAACCATTGATCACCATCCTATTACAATGTGGATTTTTCACAATTTTCATCACTGAAAAAGCTCTTTCAACTGAAGCAGTCGCAACAGGTAAAATTAATGCTAATTTCACTAGCAAGTGCACCAAGGGATACTGTCTATCCCTCTTTGTCTCCACCAACTTTTGTGCAAGGCTATTAATTCCTTTCAACGCAGAAAATTCATTATGCAAACATATATAAAAATATAATTCTTCAGTTCATCTTCAAGAAGTGTGAGCTCCATGTCAGAAAAATCTTTTGGATAAAACTAAGAATCAGTCATCTGTGCTTAAGCATGCAACACAAAGAAGCAACTCTATACTTGTCTCATTAAAATGATTGTTCAACTCTTGAAGTTGCTTATCAATAACAACAATAAAGAGATCAACATAGTAGTGATGAAGGTTTGTCAATTTTTGAACTCTACGCCCTGACCTCCCTCGAGCTACAAAGATATCATTCATATCAGGAATATCCATATCATGCTTGCCACAAAAACAAGAAACTTTATCAAGCCAAGCATCCCATCCATTATCCCTCATTGCTTGTAATTGTTGCTTACATGCTTTGACTAAAGCCATAACACTCACTATATCGAGATCTTTCTTTTGCAATGCATGTGACAACACATTTGATATTCCCAATATTTCTTTCATTAAAAAAAGAGTAGAGACAAATGAAAAGATTGCAAAAGATTCAACAAAACATATGCTTCACCTTTTTGATCAAGACGTACACCATCATCTAAAATCATCTCAAGCACCTCAATTATAGAAAAGAACATATTAATCAAGTTTACCAAGGTACCATAGTGTGAGCCCCAACGTGTATCACTTGCATGTTTAAGACTAGTTTCTTGGTTCAAGCCTTGCCCACTTGGAAGCTTATAATTTTGAATACTTCCATAACTTTGGCTTGTTGTCTTTCTCTAACTATGTCTCGACGTTTACATGATGCTCTGACAATAGTAACAACATTATTAACCAAGTAGAAAAAAGAGCCAATTTGAATATGATTTTTCGCCATGGCTACAAGAGCAAGTTGAAGTTGATGTGCAAAGCAATGAATATAAAATGCACTTTCATTTTCTTTCAAAATAAATGTCTTAAGGCCATTAAACTCACCTTGCATATTGCTAGCCCCATCATAACATTGTCCACGCAATCTAGATATGCTTAATCTGTTTATAGAGAAGAATTGATCAATTGCCTCTTTAAGTGAAAAAGCAGTGGTATTAGGAACATGTTTTATGCCCACAAATCTTTCAACTACTTGTCCGTTGGTATTCACATTGCGAAGTACAACTGCCATTTGCTCCTTGACTGATATATCACGCGATTCATCAACCAAAAAAGAAAAGAAAGCATCATCACCAATATCAAACATGATAGCATTAGTGGTTTCACATGCTGCTGTTTACACAAGATCTTTTTGAATATCAGGTGATGTTAACTTGAGATTTTCAGGAGAATTTTTAAACACCACATCTTTAATACCCTCATTATGATATGTAAGAAACTTCAAAAGCTCAAGAAAATTACCTTTATTGCTTGAATCTTCACTTTCATCATGACCGTGAAAAGCAAGACCTTATCGCAATAAATAACGAATGCAATCAAGTGATGCATTCAAACAAGTGCGATAATCAATACGTACTTGATCCAACTACTTATGGACAATTGTTTGAATATGTTGATTCTGATTCATTAAAGCTTCACAATGAAGTAAAGCTTGGTTGTGAGCACTATTAGGACCTCTTACATGAACTCGAAGTCGACATTTTTTCTTCCAATTATGAAAACCTTTGCTAGTAAAATTGTCATTACCTGTTTGGTCCGGAATCTCTAGCTTGAAGAGATAACAACTTCGACAAAAAACAACATTTTTGGATATGCTATACTCCAACCAAGTAGGAAAGTCATCGAACCATTTCGGATTGAAATGACATTGTACTCCTGCAAATGACGTATATGGAAATTGATGGGTTCCAGGTTGAACCAATTCCCTTTGTAAATAAGTTCTTCGAACCTGATCTCTAATATTTGGATCATATGATCCAGAGTCGAAGCCCAGGATCTCCTGGAAGATATGCCAGTATACTTTCTATGTTATTTTCCTTTGAACTTTCAGGAATATCCATTGTAGAGGGTGAGAGGTTATCTTTAGTTGATTTTATCTTAAAATACCTCTCCATAACGGTTTTATAATACAAAAAAGAATCAACAATATAATATAAATTTAATCAAATTAAAAACAATTAAGAAGCAGAGTTCATAGATCAATACAAACCCTACAAACCTTAAGATAAACCCCCACAATTTAACTTTCACAGAGCAATAGAAACCCCACAATTTTTTTTGCCGACACCCAGGGTCCCATACCTCCTTCCCTAAATCTTTTTGTCCACAAACCTTGAGATAAAGCCCACAATCTAACTTTCACAGAGCAATACAAACCCCACAATTTTTTTTTGTCGACAACCAGGGTCCCAGACCTCCTTCCCCAATTCTTTTTGTCGACACCATCCCTTAAGTCATTATCCATTCATTGTTAGAATATACCCATTGAATCAAACCCATAAACATGTCACACAGAGTCACAGTCACTGCAAACCTCATCCCTTTGCTCTTCCCAGTTGTCCCTCCCCTTTCCCGTTTGTTTTGTTTCTCCTTTGGGTTCAGTTATAAATCCATTCAATTATGCAATTCAAATTTCATTTTACATGTGATTGAATTTGTCTTATTCCTTTATTTTCCATTTGATTGCCTTATCTTTTTCCTGCTACAACTTCATCGTATGTTAAAATCTTATATTGTTATCATTCATTTTGGTTTAGAATTACAATACAGGAATTAACATGAGTGAATTGATTCAATTTTTCTTATGATGGTTTCAAATTTCCCACCCCTCTTTCGCTCAGATTCTCCCTTCCCCAAATTTAAAAACCCAAACAAATAAATAATGAAATTTCAGACAAGAGAAGCTTACTAGAGGAAGGACGCCGAGCCGGAAGAACGCAACCTAAAGAACAAGAGAGATCGCTGGCTTCTGGTGTGGATTGGGTTCTAGGAAAAGTCACTTTTCTGATTGCGTGAGAAATGGGTTCGGGGAAAAGTCACCTTTTTGATAGCGTAAGAAAGGAAGAGGGTAGGACTCGCAACTTGAAAAATTTATTAAAGAAGTCAATTATTTTTTTTAAAGGGATAAGTTATAAATCTATTGGGGTCAACAAAGCCCAATGCCCCCGCATTGGCTCCGCTAGTGCTTAGAATTTCATATCATATTTTTATTTTATTTTTTATTTTTTTGGCAGTTCGCTGCTCCGTCGTTTAATTTGTTTCTCTTCTGGGAGTTAAAAGTTTGATTTTTTTGCTTTAGCTCAATTTGTTGGCGTTACAAAGTATTTCAGGTCATTTTTCACAAATTTATTTGCCATTTTCGGATCAAATTTTGGTGATTTAGTTGCATCTGCCAGTCACTCGTTCCTGCATAATACATTGAGGATTAATAATTTAATCAGGGGTCTTTTGGGTGTGACAGTTACAGCTTAAAGAAATTCAGTACCGATGCCGCCAATGCGGAAGAAAAATTGGAAGATATGGCGGCTGATGCCTGTGATGCAATGAAGCAGTTTGGCATTTCGGAAGTTCGAACGAAGGCGGCTGCTAAGGAACTTCTGCAATTGTATGAGAACAACTGGAAGCTTATTGTGGAGGACTGTACAGAGTACTACTTGAGTTTTTATTGGACAATGACAACAACAACAAGGAAGAGGCAGAGGAAGAGGTAGTATTGTCTGCCTTATCGAATTTTGTCATGGCGTGATTGCCTTGTTGAATGCTTGTAATTCTTATTACATTTCGTCTTTAATTACGCTCATCTAGTATATGTGTCATGGAAGGGAACTATGAAAATATTTCAACTAAATTATTTCTTTAATTACATTTCGTCTTTAATTATGCTTACGCTTGGTCCTCATGCTTCATTAATTAGACAGCGGAGCACAAGGGCAGAGGAGTTTCGATATGTTATAAGTGGTTGTGAAGTTTCATGTCATGGCGCTCTCGTTGACAATGCAGATGGCATTTATAGAGTCGTATACTTTTGTGCCAGGCTGTGAAATGTAAGAACAAAGCAGCTCCATCTCATGATAAAACTGAAGATGTTCAACTTCCAATGAAGGGATATTGCACAAGGCAACAGACAAAACAATCATCGTCCCCTTTGAAATGTGCCACATCTTGCCTTGAAGAAACTCCATCGAAAAGGGCACATCAGAATGAGGAATCTGAAGACTCTGAAGATTCTCTGCCACTAGTGAGAAGAAGTCGCAGAGACTCCAAGAAGGAGAGGTTTTGGACACTGGTAGTAACTTCGACTCTGTGTGTCATTGCGAAGCACAGCTGGAAGAAAGTCTCAATCTGATGTGTGAAGATTTTTTTTTTTTTTTTTTTTTTCCTGATTTTGGTGACGATGGCTTGAAGTTCTTAGAAGTGAAATCATCCACTGTGGACAGTAGAGGTACCGTTTTAGATTTGTCGCTGTTTGATGTCGAATCATCTCCTCCAAAGGGAGAGCTCAAAATGTCTTTGATTTGTCACCCTTCTCTACACTCTGATTTCTGCCTTCCATATTTTGATGAAGCTCTAGAATTATTGGAAGAGACACGCATGAAATCGTACGGGGGAGGAGAATGCTTAGCGGAAACAGGATTTGATTCAACTTTTGATGAAAGTACAATTTCCAGAGATGTAGCAGCGTTAAAGAATTCCGCTGCACAAGATGTTCTTGGATATCATTATCAAGGCAATTATTTCAATGCTCTAAGTTCCCCGAGCGCATTATTTGTATTTCAGAATCTTATCAAGGTTATTCCCCATATACCCAAGCATATAGCTTTTGGTTGTTTTAACGGTCTTCACCGCTCAATTGGTTTTTCAATTACGGATGTTAGGAGCATCTGTGGTGAATCTGCAAAGAGATTAATGGTTTTCCAAGGCCAGTAATCTTCAAAATTACGCAAGGTGGAGGAGGCTGCTCATGACTACATTCTTCCATTGGAGTTATATAAAATCCGGTATTTATATTGAAGACATAACTAGAGGTGAGGAGAGAGTGAAAATTCCCTTGGAGGATGGAAAAAACGCTGAAGATCTGCTAAACTTTCTTTACATCCGTCAGAGTTTCGTTTGTAGGAATGCCTGTGTGAAATTTTCACTAGGCCGTATGTCTCATGATGGTTTCTGTTCACGTTGTTATGGGGCTTGTCTGACATCACCCATGCCTTGTGTCTGCGCTTCTGAAACTGAGGGTCAGTTTGCTTACACACCAGGAGGATTGGTCAAAGAGAAGTTTCTGGAAGAATGTATAGCGTGGAAGCGGGAACCTGAACAACACCACTACTTCTGTTGCAGAGAGTGCCCTCCCGAAAAGTCCAAGTACGAGAAGAGTTCTGTGGCATGTAAAGGCCATTTGTTACCAAAATTTATAAAGGAGTGCTGACATTAATGTGGATGCAACATGAACTGTGGAAACCGGATTGTTCAGCAAGGCATCAGCGTGAAGTTGCAGGTTAGGTTATCCTCTGTAAATTTCAGTTGTAAGTTGTAACCCTACTTAATAACGTAGCTAGAGCTAAATCAGTTTTAAATGCTAGAGTCATTTGAGTGGTTGTTGATATGTTTCAGGTATTTTTGACACCTGAAGGGAAAGGATGGGGTCTTAGAACACTGGAGGACTTGCCAAGAGGATCTTTTGTTTGTGAGCATGTTGGAGAGATATTAACCAACACAGAACGACATGAGCGAAATGTGTCGAGTACTGGTAAGAAGCATGCATACTACGCAGTGCAACTAGATGCGGCCTGGGGTTCGAAGGGTATCTTGGAAGATGAAGAGGCACTTTGCTTGGACGCTACTGCTTATGGAAATGTTGCAAGATTTATCAATCACAGGTGAACATTGTTACTGTTTATATACACAAGACACTTCCTCCCCCCGCTTCCGTTAGCACTGAACTTTTTTGTTATAATAGTTGTTGGAATAATGAACTAAGTCAAAGTTGACATTGCATAAAAGTTATATTTTCCTTTCTATATAAATTTCAAGGTCATCTTATCTGTGACCTATAAAAGAAAAAAAAAATGAAATAAAGGTAATTGTTTGGTATTGCTTTTCTTGCTTTTCAAGTTTTCTTTTCGCTGCGGGGGATGTAACAATGTTCTATTCTGCCTCTTACTGGATATATCTACTGGCACTATTACGGGAAAAGTAATTTTAGCTTAATATAGCCACATTTATAGGAAGAAAATCTGATGCATTTGGTCAAGAAAGATGATAATGTTAGAATATGAGTATGAAACTAAATATTATGGTCGGTCGTAATGC